TACTATCAGGGGTGATTTGGTTTGATTCGTGCAGGGTAGTGTTGGTCCATTTTAGCTAATTCTGGCACGCTTCATGATTCTTGCTCAACCTTGCTGAACGCTCGCCTCTCTATCTCCTCTAATTGTTTTCTGTACAAAGTGTAAGAAAGAATTTTTAAGACAATTAATAAATTATATTTATAAGCAATGCTGAAAAAGAGCTGTGTCTTTGGTGTTTTTTTTCCACAGAACATTTTCACACTTATTATACACAATTATAGATTGCACTAGAAATGAAAATCACTCACTACGGAAGATGAAAACACGTGATAACAACTTATCTGTTACTCAATAACAAAGATTGTTTTCTCATGGTAATGACTGATTTTATGTTCGTTATCTTGACAAAAAAAGATTGTTTTCTTGTGATAACAAATTAATTAATGCATCCGCCATTGTTACTGTTGTTGTCGGATTTGCGCAGTTAAATGTTCCCAAGTTGGATGTGTAAAGTGCAAGCGCAAAAAGCAACGTGGCATCAGCATCTTCATCAAAAAACCCGTCTTGCTGTTGACAATGGTGGCTGTGGCGTTTTAGAAATATCCCGGAAGGCATTTTTAAAAGTTAATGTTTTAGGTCTGCTAAAATGCTATTTACTTTATCACGAGAAAAAGAACCTTGTTATGTTGAGATCATGAGATAATAAGTCGTTGTCACGGGATAAAAAAAGAAAAGAAAAAATCCATACTCTGCAATAAAAAACAAATATTGCCATGGTCTATTTCTTTTTTTTTTTTTACCAGTTAAACTAAACAAAGAACCAAAAGCCAATCACCATGGATTGTAACACCATGAAGTGAGATTAAAGTAGGAGTTAGTCTGGTAAATGTGGCTTATATTGTCCATAAAGAGATATTTTAGCCAAATGTTGGTGGAATAAACTGTCTTATTGTCAGTGAATGTACAAATTTGATATGCAATACTTGTTACACCCTGATGTGTAACAATATTAAAAAATAATTTCAATAAAGCCCTTAATGTAACAATTGGTCAATAATGTAACTAAAGTGTTGAGCCTGAAGTGTAATAAAAAAATATAACAAAACCCAAAATGTAACGACTTGCTACATTTTGTGCAAAAAGTTATCACGGTTTTGGCTCAGCATCTTGTTGCATTATTGACCAGTTATTACATTTCAGGTTTTTTTTTTACAACATTTCATTTTTGTTTCATATATCAAGTCTTTTTTTTTTTTTTTTTTTTGTGAAATTCACATTTACAGGTTCAAGACTCAATAAATGTTTAGAGAAAGTAGCCTTGAGGCGAGGAAATGAAAACAGGGATTCCTTGTGTTGTCTCTATTTAACATGCTGTGTGCTCAACAGTGCTGGTGGGCTGTAATGAACCATAGCTCCTTTTTTAAAAGAAGAAATTATGGTGAGCATGCTTTAACAGTGAGAGGCACTGCCAAGGGATTTGTTGGTATGCGCCTCATTCAGCCACCATAAACAATGCATTAGCCCTGTGGACGAGTGTAACGCTTCATTGAGAGAATAATCGACAATGTTTACTGGATAACAACACAGCTTCGAACAAGGTTGCCATAATAGAGACACAAAACTTTGAGATGTAAAAAAAAAGCCCATTTTAAAACACAACACCACCACTGAATAAAACAGGTTGGGAAACCTACATGATAGATACTGGTTGATGTCTTTATTTTATGATTCTGCTGTTTTCTGTTTCCTACAGAGCTCCTGAATACTTAAGATGATTCTTCAATCTTACGCAAACACAAGCATAATCTTAAAATTGCCACCTTGTGTGCGCACAATTACAGTTTTGCTGGCACTAGTTGTTGACTAACAGGCTTCTAACAGCACGACAAATGAGATGCTACTCTTTAACAATTTTCTGTTTGATTTAAGATTTCAGGGGTCCTCTTACATCATACTTTTCTGCATTTACAACAAAAACTGCAAAGTTACAAAGTTAAGCGTCCACACTACATGTATTTAATGTTTTAAATCACAAGGTAAACGTATTTTGTCATAAACTGAGACTGCTCAAATCTCAGACAAATGCAGGAAAATGTGAGAATGTAGTTTATGTGTGAGATTTACTAAATTTTGACGCATAAACTATAGACTCTCCCTACAGGTTTAGAATGGCCTGCCTCCAAAGGCATGCCAAATGACACCCACAGTGGAGCAGGGTAACTACACACATAATATACATATGTATATATGCTAACATGCTGATAAAATATCATAGTAAAATATGTTGAAAAATGTCATAGAATAGTATGTTGAAAAATGTCATAGTATAGTGTGACAGAAAAAATGTCATATTATAGTATCGAAATAATATCATAGTATATTATGATAAAAATGTCATAGTATGACCAAAAATGTTGTAGTATAGTACTTTTAATAATGTCATAGTACATAAGATAAACTGTCATAGTATATATGATAAAAATGTCATAGTATGGTATGTTAAGAATTTCATGGTATAGTACATATTAAAATGTCATAATATAGTAGGATAAAAATATCATAGCAAAGTATGTCAAAGAAAATGTAATTGGACACTTTAAAAAAATGTCATAGGATAGGATGATCAAAAATTTTTTATAGAATAGTACGTAAAAAAAACAGTCATAATAAAGTATATGAAAAAAAAGTCCTTTTACAGTATGTAAAAAAAATTGTAGTTTATTTTGTTAAAAAAATGTCAAAGTATAGTATGATAAAAATTTCATAGTGAATTTACAAAAAAAATGTCATTGTATACTATGTTGAAATATGTCATAGTATAGAGTTTATAATAAATGTCATAGTATAGTATGTTAAAAAAATGTTACGGTATAGTATAATAAAATTTCATAGTATATATATTGAAATATGTCATAGAATCATGTGATAAAAAATGTCATAGTATAGTATGTTTAAACATGTTAAAGTATAGAGTGTTAAAAATGTCATATTATAGCATGATAAAAATGTAATAGGGACTACAATAGAAAGAATTACTTATTATAGTATGGAAAAAATGTCATTGTATATTGCTTTTAAAAATTTCATGGTATGGTATGGTATAATGTCATAGTATAGTATGTAAAAAAATGTCATAATATTGTATGATAAAAATCTCATAGTATAGTAAGTTTAAAAAATGTCATAGGATAGTTTGTCAAAAAATGTTGAAGGATAGTATAATAGAAATGTCATAGTATAGTATAATAAAAAAATGTCACAGTACATTACATTCAAAAAATATCAAAGTATAGCATGTTAAAAAATTTAAGTGTATAGAATGTTAAAAATTTCAAAGGATAGTTTGCTAAAAAAAATGTCAAAGGATGGGATAATAAAAATTTTATAGTAATGTGATGAAAAAATGTTATTGTATAGTATATTGAAAATTGTCACAGCATAGTACGTTAAAGAATGTCATTGTATAGTATGTTAAAAAATGGCAATGTATAGTATGTTAAAAATGTATATTTTGATTAAAAAAAATCATAGTTAAATATGTTGCAAAGTGTGCTAGTATAATATGTTACAAAATGAAAGTCTAGAAAGTTAAAGAATGTCATAGTATAGCATGTTAAAAAAATGTCAGTATAGCATAACAAGAAAAAGTTATTGGATGGTGCGTTCAAAAAAGTCATAGTATAGTATGATAAAAATATCATAGTATAGTATGATAAAAACGTCATAGTTTAGTATGATAAAAATGTCATAGTATAGTATGATAAAAATGTCATAGTATGATGTTATAAAAAATGTCATAGTATAGTATGATAAAAATATCATAGTATAGTATGATAAAAACGTCATAGTATAGTATGATAAAAATGTCAGTATAATATGATAAAAATGTAATAGTATGATGTTATAAAAAATGTCATAGTATAGGATGTAAAAAAATTGTCATAGTATAGTTTGTTAAAAAATAACATAGTAGTATGATAAAAATGGCATTGTATTATATGTTGATAATGACATAATAAACTATTTGAAAATGTCATACTATAGTATGACAAAAAATGTTATAGAATAGTTTGATAAAATTTCATCATATTATATGATAAAAAAAAAGTCACAGTATAGTAAAGAATGATAAAAAATGACTTAGTATAGTATGATAATAAATGTCATAAAATCCTATGATAAAAAATGTTAGAAAATGTCATGGTTAAGTATGTAAAAACATATATTATAGTATGATGAAAATGTCATAGTATAGGATGATAAAAATATCATAGTATAGTATGATAAAAATGTCATAGTAAAGTATGATAAAAATTACATAGTATAGTATGAAAAAAATGTCAATGTATAGCATGTTAAAAATGTCATAGTATAGAATGTTAAAAAATGTCATAGTATAGCATGTTAAAAATGTCATAGTATAGTATGATAAAAAAAAAAGTCAAAGTATGGTATGTTAAAAAATTAGTACTATAAAATGTTATTGTATAGTAAAGTAAAATATCATCATATAGTCTGATAAAATTAATATTATATAGTATAAAAACACATCAAAGTTAAGTATTATAAAAATATCATATTAGGGTATGTTAAAATATTAAATTATGGTAACTATCGAAACTCCCCGAGCATGAAAACTGTACAGTGTGCTCGCAATTTTTTTTTTTTTCATATATAGGGGCACCCAACCCTCCCTTCAAATTTAATGAGTCTTTGAGCCCGTCTAGAAGGTTTTTAAGTTGAGAAACGTTTAAAGTTAACAATTAATATGATGATAATAGTAAATAGTTCCTGCAATTTCAATAGGGCTCTCACCTGCTGCTTGCAGCAATGGCCTGGGCCCTAACTACTGTAAATCATGAGAGGTAATCACTCCAGTTAATGCTGATGAGCTCCTCGCAGCTCTCGCCATCTCTTCTTCTTGCAGTTACAACAGAGCACCTATGGATGGCAGTGTTCTGCTTTACTTGCTTCATTTCCCGTCTCTCAAGAAAACTCAATTAAATGAAAGGAAACACATGTAAGTAGCGAGATATCTGATCATATAACCTTTATTTTTCAACATATAGTATTAAAGAGTTTGAGTTTTACATGGGAAAAAAAAACCTGTTAGCAACTTTCTTGACCAACCCAAACTCAAAAATACACAAGTACCTCTTCTTCAGTGTCTACAAACATTACCAGCATAGACAGAACTTTTAAAGCATTAAAATACACTTTTTTTCTGTCACATAGTGTCAGTCATTGGAACCAAAAACAGTCAATTTTAGAGTGACAAAAATGTGTTCAATCCAATTACAATGATCAGGCAGTAGTAGAGTGACAGTGTTTTGAGAGGAGGTGTCATGCTGCAATAAAGCACATCCTTTCCGTTCTAACAATCGGACCTTCATCTACAGGTAAGGTAGCTTTCACAGAAAGCAGTCATATATTATTATCCACTCACTGGTCAGTAGCTTGTTTCTGTATCTCTGTGGCTACAGGGCTGAGTCCAATCTCTTTCTCCAACAGGAGCAGGAAGCTGGTTTTAGAGTCTTGATTTGTTACTACTTTTAGTTTTACTGTACCATCAGAGTCAAATTTTCCAAGGAGAGGTGTTTGGATTGCAGAGTTCTGGGCATGTGGACACGAAACTTGTGATCCACTGATCTCCAAGTGATGATCTTGCTCCCTGTGTCTCCAGGAAAAGTAGGATTGTGCAGCCTTCATCGGAACCAGTGTGATAGTTAATGCCCTTTCTATGTGTGGGAACACACACTTGGCAGTGGCCACTCACAGCTTGATGTCCTGTGATTCTGACATCTTGGCAAGTGTCTTTTTGACCCGTAGGGCTGTGAGGCGGCAGGCCGGGCTGTGGGCCCAGCACTCTGTCATCAGCTTCCCCATCTGTCTCAAGCACTGAAGAGAAACAGGTTCATGTTAGAAAAGTTATTGCTGACTGTGTCTGAACAAGTTTATTGAGAAAAGGTTTCAATATTGTACCTCATCACTGGTCCATCGGTTGGGAAAGGAAGGTCGTAGTCTCTTGATGCAGACCACTTCTCTCATGTCTTCATATGACGGGTCTGTAGGGACTAACTCATGATATGGCAGCTGGTACTCTTCAAGGATTCCTAAAATGAAGAAGACTTACAGTTTGATAAATGCTGTTGGATTATAGCCCTAAAATATCCTCTAAAATCCCATCCTTCATAAGTGTCTTTTCTGGCAGTCTTGCTGGTGCGAAATATTGTTTACCTCCTGAGACACAGCGTCTAGCGATTTCCCAGAGAATGAGCCCGAAGCTGTACATGTCGGCCATGATGTACGACTGAAAATGACTTCTGTTCAGAGTCTCGTCCAGGACCTCTGGAGGCATGTAGCGCTTTGTACCCACTCTGGTGTTCGGAGGAATATCAACCTCATTGGTGTCACTGCAGGGACAACATAAATATGACACTTAGACGTGAAGGATGGATTAGTGGAGCACTCTCCTGCATCCTTCGACAAAATAAAGTGAAACTATAATATGAAGACCCTCGTCTCTGACATTCTCACCTGATAAACTTCACTGCGAGTCCCAGGTCGGCTATACAGCAGGTCCCGTTTCTTTTCACCAGTATGTTCTTACTCTTCAGATCCCTGTGGGCGATGGCGGGTTTCCCCTGGGTGCCAAAGATCTCGGTGTGGAGATGACAAAGGCCTGACACAGAGGAGTAGGCCAGTCGCAGCATGGCTTTATTGTCCAGAGTGGTTGATTTGAGGTAGTCATACAGAGAGCCGTTCTCGTGGTAGTCTGTGATCAGGTAGAGCTGAGTCCAAGAGCCGGTTCCTTTGATATCGGCGGCTATAAAACCTGAGAATGGACGGAGAAGAGGATGCAGTGAGGCCAAGAAACTAGTCCTACACAGTAAGTTTCCAGAGTTGACCAAGAAAACAGCATCTTATTGCAGCTTCAGCTCGACAAATTAAAGCAGACATAAGAAAACATAATGTAGCAACCACTTTAGGAGCATTATGCACAGCAGCATCTAGTCTGTCTTCTAGTTTACTGGCAAGTGATCTTTTGCCCCCCGACTTAATTACTATGCATCTTGTGCTGTTTAATTATGCAGGCTTTGGTCCGCTGTCTGTTGTTGTCTACTTTATAATTGTGTGCGTTTGGTGTTCAGTCTCCTGGCTATAATTGATCTGTTTTGGCAGTGGTTGCAGTGTGGTGCAGCATAGATAAGAACGGACAAGTCCAACTCTGACAACTTTATTCTGTCAGTTTGTTTATTTTCCACTTTTTGTTGGTTTCATGCAAGTTAATCAAACTTTTAGACTATCACTTATAAACATTCATTCACATATGTCCTTCAGGGTCCATCTGTGCAAAAATTACACAGTTTTTCTGAATGTAAAAAATACAACACGAAAGTCAGAGACATGGACAAAAATTGACATGACTTGATGTGTGCAGAGACATTCACCCAAAGATGTAAATCAGTCTTACCCAGTATGTTTTCGTGCCGCATAAGAACCGTCTGGTAGATCTCCGTCTCTCGAAACCAACTGGCTTCCTCTGTGGTGAAGAAAACTTTAACAGCCACTTTTTCTCCTCTCCATCTGCCCATCCACACTTCTCCATACCTCCCCTTGCCTATCTGCTTCACCATCTGAATCTGCTTGGCTATCGTTCTCTGCACCTGAGGATGAGAAAAGGATGAAAAGGGGTCAGAACATTTCACAGCTTCAGCTCCTACAAAATTCAGCTGCACCCATGCTGACGAAGACATGAAAGAGAGCCCACATCACACCAATTTTAAAATCGCTGCGTTGGCTACCTGTGTCTTTTAGAGTAGATTTTCTTTTATTAGTTTTTACAGCTCTTAATTCGTCTTGGTCCTTCTTATTTATCTAATTTCCTTTTACCATATGAGCCTAGAGGAGCCCTCAGGTCTTCAGGTAGTGGTCTTTTAATTGTTCCCAAAGTCAAAACTAAGACATACAGTGAATCATCGTTCCAACATTACGGTCCCCATTTGTGGAACAGCCTACCTGCAGACCTGAGAGCGACACCTACTATTCATCTTTTTTAAAAGTAAACTCAAGACCTACTTTTTAAGTCTGGCTTTTAGTTGAACTTTGTTTTAATCTTTTAATCTGAATTATGTGATTTTACCCTGTTTTAGTTGTCGAGTAACAATTTTGTGTTTTATTTCCTCTTTTTTAATTTACTTTATGTTATTGTTTGATTTTAGGACTGTTTTATTTGACTAACTTTTAATGCTTTATCACCTTTATTATTATTTTTTTTATCATGGTTTTATCGTTTTAGTCCTAGATCCAGTGTTTCCTCATTTCTTTTAACTCACGATAGCGTTTCCTCAGTCATCTGTGGCAAGTTAAAGAGTCCTCACCTGGTCTTTTGCGTATGCATCTGTGTGTGTGTGTGAGCGTGTGAGTGCTGGATGTGTTAAATGGGGGCTGGGAGGGTGGGTGGGGTTTGGTATTTGTATTTTTATTTATTCTATTTCATTGTTTTTAATATCCTGCTTGAATGGACAGAACTTTGTGCTACATTATATGTATGAAAAGTGCTTTACAAATAAAGTTCGATTGATTGATTGATTGATTGATGTTTAATAAGTCTTAAGATTCATGTCTGCCTAGCACTGTATTCTAATACATTCATCCTCACACACTGTGCACAAAATCTGCAAAAACATTTGAGTCATGTGTGGGTAAAATATACAGTAAAAACTAGCTTAGAGCTTCTTCACTTAAATATCTTAAAAGCATTTAACTATCTTTTATCTTCCCATATACCTCTAATTAGACAAACATGCCAAATTCTGTGCCAAAGTGAAGGCTTTATGGTGCATTTTTTATGGAGCTGCAATATTAGTGCCTTACCAACAGAGGGAGCCCTGAGCCTGAGCCAGAGCTCTGTGACTGCTCTATCAGGTCCTTCAGGGACTCTCCAGGGGGAATGTAGGTGTCATCCTGCTCCAGACCGATGCTGTATCTAGGACGGGACTCCTGCCGCTTATACCTACATGAACACAAATACTGGTGAGCATAAAGCGAGCGTGCAAAAGAAATGGTTAAAGTAACATGAGAGATTACAAAAAACCCTAAATTACCAACTTAATGTGGATTTACCTGCAGTAGCAGAAGACAATAATAACAGCCAGGATGATGATGCACACAGTGCCTGAGATCAGCAAGGCCATGTGGTGGATCTTTCCATCTACGTAGACTGGATAAGGGAGGAGGGAAGGGTGAAGGAGGTATAAGAAGTATACGTAAGAAGAACTCAAAGTTGCAATAATCTGCAATAATCCAATCAAAGGAGAACTAACTGGGCATTTGTGAGTAAAATGGCAAATAGTTTTCTGTCTGAAAAAATAAGCTGAAACTCCAAAAGACTAAAAGAAATGAGGTCAAATTCTCTGGTATGTTTTATATAAAAAGTGAGGGATGTTGAGAAAATTACAGTAAGAAGTAAACGATTGTTCTGAGTCATTTGAAACAATAGAGGAGTACAGTAAATCAAATACAAATCATATTTCACTCATCAATTTTTCATTTTCTTCTGGCACACACTCTTTCCCCTCAGGGATGGCAGTCGACAGCGAGAGGAAGCCCTCAGTACAGTCGATGAATTCTCTTCCTGATCCTCTATGATAGGGTTTCAGATTGATGACTGTGCCCCCGGTGTCTGCTGTGGCTGGTGATTTCCCTGGGAATCTAGGCTTACTGTCTCTCCAATACACAAAAGGACTCTCACACTCACACATGGAGTATAGTGTTTTACACAGCGGAGACTTCCCTATTCTCCTGACACCTTGCAGCTATGGACAGTTTGACAGTAACTCCCCCACTTGAGCCGTCTTTGACTCAGACAATGTCATGATATCTCCATCTGTGAACCCTGTGTGCTAACACTGTCAGCCACAGTTCTCCGGCCTGTCTGTATCACTGTCCCTGTCACCTGCCGGCTGGAAAACAAGGAACCCTTCAAGATCTTTCTTGTGTTTCATGTGCAGAAAAGAAGAGTAGGAAGATGAACTTACGAGGCGGTTTGAGTGGTGGCAGTGTGGGGTGCAGGTTTTTGTTACAGTAATCCTGGTCTGTGCAGCACTCCAGAGATCTCCTTTGACGCGAGTTCCCCGTGTCCTGGAAGACAAAGAAGCAAGGATTTTTTTTTTTTTCCTTTTTTAACTCTGAGCTCTCTGCTCAAACAGTAAAACCTGTTCTAACCTCTTACATCTGATTGCAAATATTCACTTCTTCAAATGTAAGGAGGTGCTCCTTTTCTCTGGTTTGTATCAAAGTTACGACAGAGTTGTCCCGAAGAACTTTATCCGCCAAAAAACGATCTACCAAGACATTAATCGACTACGGCTGTTCACTCTAAATTCAATTTTCTCACAAATAAATCATGAAACTCTAGTTTGATTGACATAATCTGCTTAATTTGTTTACTTGTGATTTTTACCATCATAATAAAGTTATTCAATCAAATTTTTGGAAAGATTTTGAGCAGAAGACTGTCCGGATTGTTGCTCTCTCTACTCACCCTGCACTGAAACTCTGATCCCACCTGCCCCAGGCAACCTGCAGTCAGCACCGGTACCCCTCCCTCCTCCTCCACCATTGTGAAACAGTAACCATCCGTCCTGGAAGACAAGGGTTAGCACCAGTTATTCATACAAACAGTAAAGGTATGCTCATAAGACATACCACCACATCCACCATCATAATAAGACAGAAAATGCACTTCAGAGTGAGTGTATCTGTGCATGCATCTGCAAAGACGTCCCCACCTGCATGTATTGTTGGTTGAATCGTCAGGACAGTGGTGATAACAGTGACACCATAGTAGTCTCTGGGAGGAGGAAGCAGGAGCTGTGCTGCCGCTTGCCTCCTTCCCGCTATCCACTGCCTCCTTACTGGACGCCCTCAGCAGCATACTGTCCAATATATTCCCTATAAAAACAGGCAAATGACAAAGAAGGCAACACTGAGTTTAGAAAGAGGTAGAAAAAAAACAAGTCGATATCTAAACCATGAATCAGAAAAATCACCGACACTGGCAGGGTCAGGGTTTTCATTATTAATGCCATCATGTGCATGCACTTCTATTGCTGGAGGCTGTTTGGAGAATATCTGCAAAACAAGGAGGATTCGGCAGAAAGCAGCCAGACATAGTGAGCTTCTGGTATAATGAAAACCACGACTTGAAAACAGTTTTTCTAAAATCCTGAAAAATGTGTTCGAGGAAGAGAGAGCCAAGAGATAAATCATGAATTTTATACTCAGCGAAACAGTCGGCTGGTCTCAGCAAACATTTCCAGGTGTGTTTCGTTTATAGTCACTGCTTGATAAATGAGCACACACCCTTTGCAGTACGATGCTACTACATTATCAGTGTTGAGACTTGCTTTGCTGTCTACTCCCAACACATCCATGCAGCATGAATCAGAATCTGAATCTTTACGTTTCTCTGTATTGTACTCGATGGTTGAGAATATCTAGTTTTAATTCTCTAATTCTCTGCTGCACACAGTCGTTCATAAACCCTCCACCTCAGCATCCATATGCAGGTTTGCAAGCTCCCCTGGGGAATGACCTTAATATCTTCGCATTCCTGTTTCATCTCTGTACTATTGTATGATGCAAGGAGTGTCGAGGCCAAGACGGCAAATATAAACTACATGCATACTCTATATTCATATGATAAATCTATTCCACATGAGCTGGCAGAATGAACCCGAGCATAATCTTTGAGAAAACAATATCTGAGTCCCCAAAAACAACAAGTGAAAATAAATAAATAGAAAACGGAGGGAAAATGCAATATGCCAAAAGTAAATTAAAAACAAACTTTGAGTCTGAGCACCGACGTAAAAGTGAGAAATGAATTTCTGGCTGATACGGCCTCTTAGAGCAAGAACTGGGCTTTTGTATTCCCTTCTTATCCTATTTCAAAAGAGCACCTGTTTGTCACTTGAGGGAAAAAAAAGGATCAAGGAAGTGTCTCTCCTTCATGCTTTTTCATTCACTCCAGTCTGATCATTGAGGCCAGATGCTGAACAGCTGCAAGCCCAGAGAGTCCTTCCTCTCTGAAATAAAACTACCAGCAGATACAAAACCTGAACTCTGAGCTGAAGCACATTTCCTCCTCTAGTTCTTGGCTTTAGTGTTTTTATATAAAAAATATCCTCGTAAAGAATGCGGCTCAATAATTTAGACAATATGTGCAACAGGGCAGAGTCAGAATACAAGAACCAAGGAGACTTTTGTAGGGACAGTTACACACGGTAAAGCAGAGGAGGTGACGATAACCTGAGAGGATATTTGAAGCACAAAAACCAAAGACCTCTGTGCATTTAAGTGTGCAAAAAAGCCATGTGGTATGCAATGACTTGAACATAAAAGTAAGCAGTAGCTGTGGACAGGCTGTCAAATGTCGGACGTGGTTTTAAGAAATACAGAGGCTCATAAACTTCTGGGTCAATGTGCGAAAGAGAGGAGCTTTCAATGAGATGATGTAGTAAGAAGTGGAGGTCGCAGTGATGAGGAGGACAAAATCAAGCTGGACTAAAGTCTCAGAACTGAACCAGCAGATGTTAAAGAGTCCTGGACTGCTGCCGCCTCTAAAACCAGCTCTTCTGCTGATCTCAAATCACATGAAAATGGTGAGTAATGCCAGCCTGTTGCTACTTATATACCGATCCTATCAACTATTGGACTGTGATAAGTCAAACAGACAGTTTTTCTGGTACCAAAGTGAGATGTGACCACCTCCTCCTTTGCAGTTCTCACATGTGACACACAGACCAAAGACTATTCTGGGAAAACGTCTCCAAACAATCCAGTTGTGAAAGCTCCTTTAACTCAACACAAAGCTGCTCCAAAGTCTGCTGTTTGACTCTGAAGTTCTTTTAAATCAAATCAATTTACTCTCGTGAAACACGTCCTCAAAGCCAACGTGTTTGCACAAGCTTTGTTTTGGTCGTGGTTAATGACAGGCGAGGTGTATTTCACGGTCAGATGACTTTACCGCTCATAAAAAAGCCCCACTTACATTAAACAAATTGGCTGAGATAAAAACTTAAACGGGCGCTTCATATGTTCAGGGTGCTTAAAGTCTGTCAGTCACATGTCAGATAACGGGTGGTAACTTCTCTTTCATCTGAGCTCAGCTGTCTTCACAAAACATCAAAGAAACCCCTCCAGGGACAAACGCTTAAAGCTCCCTTGTGGACTGGAACACACACACACACACACACACACAAATAATACCTCACACACAGAAGCTCAAACTCGTATGCACACATGCCCTTCAGATCTGCTTCGATATTTCTGGAGCTCTGTTGTCAGATTTAGCTCAGGAAAAAGCAAAAAAAAAAAGAAAATAACTACAGATATGAAAATGGATTTCTCCGGTTGTTGTGCTTCTCACCGCAATTTATCAATCCAACACAGTATCTTTAAAGGAGCTTGATAAGAGAGACCGTCACTGTGATGAAGAAACTTTGGCAAATTCTTTCCAACAAGCATCGCCATTTGTAATCAAGCACTTCCCTTTCTAAATGTCGCTCTTGTACACACTGATAATGTGTTGACAATGCTGCGAGAGAGGGGCGGTGGGGTTTAAAGGGGTCACATTAACAATTGACCGATTTGAGAGAAAGGGAGCGAGGAAAAGGAGGAGGGGGAGAAGAAAGGGGGATTAACAAACGAGAAGTGACAGAGCTGCGGGGAACTGGTGGGCAGTTTAGCAGCACACAGAGGGGACAGAGCAGAGGCCACTGGCCTTTTCCACCCTTTCTCTCACTCTGTCTCCCCCTCACTCCATCACCTCCTCCGTCCTGCTCCCTAATGCTCACTCACTTTGTGTCGCACTCGGTGCCAGCCTCTCTCTCCCTTTCTTCTCTGTCCTATATCTCTGCCTTCCGCACTTTTCCGCCTCTTTTTCTTTTCTTCCACCAGTTAAACAAACTCCTTTCTTTTTTCTTTAGCTACTTCGATTCATCCCCGAAAGTCCCACACGGCTGCTTCTCATCCTCCACTTTCTTTGCCCCTGTCCTCCCTGCGTGAGTCCGCCGGATAGTCATGTGAGGTGCTGCTGTGCTGTTGACAAAACACAAAGCCTTTCACATCCATCCTGCACCTGGGATCTCTGGCTACTGCTCTGTGTGTGTGTGTGTGTGTGTGTATGTGTGTGAATACAGTGGGAGAGAGATAGCGAGGAGGGAGTAAAAAAAGAAAAAGCCACAATCACGCAACTCATGAATGCTGCTTGTAGAAAATTTGATTTTCTGATGCGAAATCAGCAAAAACTGCAGAGACCCATGAAACAAAGTTTATGTTTGTATGTATTGGTAGAAAAAAGGCCACAGTTTTATTAGTTACTTAACAAGTTGTGACCATAGACGGAATATAGACTAGGCACCGTCTGCCTCCTCGCTGGGTGAAGCCACTCTGAGAACAGCACCCTCTGTTGACGGGCTGCAGTATAGGTCATAAATCCCTCCTTCTCAAGCTATTCTTATGGAGCTGTGGACAAACTTCAGAAATTTATCACACAGAATATAAATATTTCTCCCCCCTGAGATGTAGTTACTGTCAGACTGGTTTGTGCTCAAGTTCTCTTTTTACTGTGAAGCTCCGTTTTTAAAAGTTATTAGAGGGTTCATAATTTCTATGATTGACACTTGATACAGCCTATGGGCGTACGAAGATTGCGTAGCTCACCGGGGGATTCGCTGTTTGAGCCGAGCGTCACAGCGACTCTCTGTAACTCTCCCGCCAAATGCGTGCAATGCTACTGCGCAATGTTGGTTTCAGGAAAAGGAGAAAAATCGCAGAAATACCGAGAGCTTTTTGGCTTTAAATCTGTATAATGGCGTAAGGCGGAACCAAGTTGTCTCTAGTCTATACAGTCTATGGTTGTGACTCATATTTGGGTCTCACAACTGGTTGAAACACTCATCATAAGCGGACTAGTAACGCCTATAGAGTTTTGAGACTTTAAAAATAGTAGATCTAGTTGATTTATATCATCCTAAAACTAATAAGTTTGCCGCCCTGACTCTATGCTGCTTCCTAGCAGTGTGAAAGTGATGTTTGTACATCTATTTCTTTACTAAACACAACTAAGAGTTACAATCCTTTCACTCAAATCTTACTTCATTCCCTTATTTATTTTCTGTACAACCTCTGACTACCAGAGTCTACTGAATGTTTCATTCGTCCTGAGGGTACGTTCGTGTTTTCTATGCGCCTGTCCCATCTGTCTGGGGGAGGGAGCATGACCAAGGTTAAATATTTTGCTATTATAGAAAGCAAGAAAAGCCCTGACCCTGAATGTTCCTCATTTCTTATCAGAGAGAAAAAAAAAATACTGCTGCTGAAAGGTTGAAAAATAAGCTTTCCGAGCTGTGGTGTAAAACTGCGCGTACATACAGTATGTGTTAACTCGGGGATTAAATGGATACACTGTCTGTAGAGATTTGCATAACAGTATGTATTTAAGGAGTACTGTTCTGGCTATAAGGGTCTAACCCTGCGAAAACACCCGCTGACCAATGGGAATCCAGGAAAAACCGCAGTAAGTATCACCAATGTCACAACATGCTAAAAGTCACCCCTTTGTGCTCTGAAGCTGTCTGATTTTCCAGGCACTTCACTGACACCATAATTGTTTCAAGCTTTTTCACTGAAACAGCCTTTCAGATACTATGAGCTCTCAGGTCTCCCCTATAGGCTGTTTTGGGGCTCAGTGGCAGGATATAGGGGCCACTGTAAACACACAATTAACAACCGTGGCCCCGCAAACCCCCGAAAGCTCAAGGCCTCTTTTGAACAGTCCCCGCTTTGTGGAAATTGACAACACACAAAGAAAGAAGAAGACAGATACCGAGAGAAAGAGAGAGAGAGAGAGGGGATAGGAGCTACTCAGGGGGATTTTGTGCATGAGAGAGAACGATAAAGATTTGGAGGACGATAGACAAAAAAAGACAGATGGAGGGAAACAGAATGAGAGAGAACATGTTCATTAGTTATCCTGGCCATGTCAAACAAGGTCTACCAGAAAAGCCCTTCTAGTGAGCCCATGTAAACACTCCCCACTCCCCCTTCCACTTAAGACACACTCATTTGACAACACGGCTCCCTTCCTGCCCCGTCCTTCCCTCTAAGTAGTAGTTCATCTTTGACTGTTTGACAGTGCCGTCTGCGCGCTGAAGACACATAGAAGGTGAAAGGTTTTTATGGCCTCCTGCTCTCCTTCCCTCTCTTACGTCTTCGCCTCCGCCTCTCCTTCCACATGCTTTCAGTGCCTGCTCTTATCTCTGCGTCGATGTGGAGATGAGCCGAGCCATCCCACATGTGCAGGAATGTGTTAATGAAGGCCTCTTTGTGATCTGGAGGCTGGAGAGCTGACACGGTCTCTCACGCTGTTATGGCTAAAAAAGATTTTGAAATTCCAAATATGTTTGGCCTCAAAGTACGACGACAAAACTCTCTCACTGACACAGTATTCTTACCGAAGCACTGAGTTACGTAGCTACTCAGATTCTTAACCCATGTTTCACTGCAAGAAGATCTTCTCTCTCTTTTTTAGCACAATGCCTTAAAGTAGTTTTCCTCTTAAAGGTGCCAGAATGAGGATATTCAGTGACATCTAGCGGTAATATCCTAGAATGGGACACTTCCTCACCAATCTCTCCTGTCACTGAGGCAACAGCGGACGAGGAGAACCGAAAGTGATTTGCGAGATAAGAAAGGCATCTTTCGGTTCCTGCAAAATGTCTCTACTGTAGAAAATATGCTGGTGCAACATAGTCAGCCTCAAAAAAATCCATATTAACTTATTTAAACATACTTCACATATGCAATCTCTTCAGGAAAATGCTGTGAAATACTACAAAATGTAGGGTGGGCGATATGGCCTCAAATCAATATCACGATATATTGAGCAGTTCACCTTGATATTGATAAATGGACGATAACTACTCCACAAGCTGCTCACCCCCTCCCACATTAACTTCATCTACTTCAGCCGCTGCTCCAACTTTTGAACCGTCCTCCATCTCCTCACCTGTCTTTCCCTCTTTGTTACAGACTGGATGGGGTGGAGTCACGTCTCTGACGTAGGACAGCGTCTTAAAGGGACAAGAGACCATAGCCTACCAACACACATCCAAAATCAACTTTTATTTATTTATTTGACACTGAATGTACCAATATCGGGCTAAATGATGTTGGTTATTGTTGTAAATTTCAGTATTGGTAAATTTTCGGTTTATTGTCCAGCCCTAACCCAACAGTGTTTCCCCTACACTCATTCAGCTGCTGCTGAATTACGTGCGCCACTACTGAAATTTTACATCATCTTTAATATCAATGCGTCACTAATGATTTCTACCTGCACTGTGTGAGTTCTGAGTCATCAAGGAGCGCATCAAATCCTGTCGAACCCTCTTCCATCAACATGAAAGGTAATGTTCAAGCTCATACACGGTCTATATAGCGAGTAGCGTTAATAGCATTAGTAGCATTCATATCAATGCACCACTAATGATTCTTACTCGCACTGTGTGAGCACAACAACACACAACGTTAGTTTCGACTTGTTTTGAGTCTTTAACAAGCGCATCAAATCCTGTCAGACTCTATTCCATCAATGTGAAAGGTAACGTTCAAGCTCATGCACGGTCTATATAGCGAGTAGCGTGGGTAAAGTAATGTAATGTGAACGTAAAAGTGGAGCGCCATGAGCGGAAAGAGATATTTCACCAAATTATCAATCAAGTTAAGGGATCAATAAGTGGAGAGTGGAGAAAGGGACTGTTTACAACAACAAGAATAAAGGAAGACCACCATGTAGAAAACCACAAATGACAGAAAAATGTCATATTGTTCAGGAAAAATAGCAGCTTTAGAGATACTTTCTTGAGTACAATAAACGCAGAGGGAGAGAAGAGATATGGACGCTGTTTGAACTTCATTCAGCTTTTTACAACACGACACCATCAACAGCTCTTCAAACGCTCCTTCATTGTGTCACTCTGATGAATGATGCAGTAATGAGCCTCTGCCAGTCTCTGGTTATACAGCTGTCATCTGCCAGCTTTATGCTGTGACCAGCAGGGTGTGTGTGTGTGAGTGTGTGTGTATGTCCCCTTTCACGAGGATGAGTGACAGGTACACAAGGATTCCGGAACTGAGAGCCCATTCCAGAAGGCCCTCATCGTCCCTCCGGAATACAAGGAAATGATGAAACGGCGCTTAAAGGAGGTGCGAGAGCGCGGGGCAAAGAAAAGGGGAGAAAGGATACCAGCTGGCCTCTTCATCAAAAGCTCCTTTGCTCCTTCTCATGGCCATCTGTGGGCTCCTACTCATAACAAAACAGCTCACATCATTCACAGGCAGCGGGCATCCGGCTGGATCAGCGGGCTGTAAGTATGATGACACTGGTAACAATCTGCTTTGAGAAGTTTATCCTGGGAAACAGATTCGTCAATCTGTAGTTACATCATATTAATTCCCTATACTAGCCATACAACTTCTATTTGTACACTAAAGGTGTAAAGATACAGTTAATTGTACCAAACTTTGCACTTTTGGTTTGATGCAGATGCAAACCAAACTGTTTGGATGCAAAAATAAAGCAAATTAAAATCCAATATCTCCTAACAGACCTAACATGAAACTTTACTTCTAATTCTTCAGTGAAAGGGCGACTAGACGTGCTTGAGGCCCTTTCAATTAAGAATTGGATAACCATGACCTGGATGAATAAGAACTTACACAGACATTGGTCTTAGAACAGTTTTTAGATAAAGTTACACCCCTTAGATACACAGTTGGAGAATAAACTAGTTTCTGATTCTAGGACAGGTAATGCCGCTTATAAAACATATTTTAACTACATTACTAACCGGTACATTGGCGTTGTCTTCTTGACTGTAAGCATGAAGACAAGTGACCTATTGTAGACATATCCTCCTTCTGGGATCTGATGTTGAAGTTAAACAGAGTTAATGAAGGAAGATGGAAAACCTCCTCCTACATCTCTTTTCAAATAACTCCTGTTGAAGACATATGGTGCTAACAGAAGCATCAGTGATCTCTTACAGATCCCTTAACGCTGCTGCGTTTTCTACCGTGAGACAGATGTGTATGTCGGACAGGAATGCTTTACCATATGCAGCAGCGTACAGTATACAGTATACAGTAGTGCTGGACACCTATAACAAAGGTGAAATATAATCTCAAATAAACATTTACAGACTTATAAACAGTTTGTAGAAACAGAAAGAAAGCAGTCCTTCGTGTAAAACATTGGATGCTTTCTTACTTGCTCCATTTGGAAAACAGCCTAAAGGGGGATTAAATAAGTAATGTCTCACTTGTTTGATTCGACCCTCAAGGTTCATTATATTTACTCTGGAAAGGCAGAAAAATAATCAAAACTAGTGTTGTGATACTTTTCAATTGTCACACATAAATACATTTATTATCTGCATAAAATTGTAGAGTGGAAACTACTGATATCAAATTGCCAGGGAATTTTAACCTGCTAGTTTTATGAGTGTTTATTTTAGAAAATGTCCTCTGAGGACCTGGAAAAATATGTCCACAATGATACATTAGCCACAGACAGACTAACACTCTTCAAAATGTTGTTTCTTTCCCAAAAGCTAAACCCAGTGACATTCATCTAAAACCCAAACTCACTTTGTTCCACTTGTTTCACACAGCAAAGTTTTTTCCTCTACACAAGGTTGAAAAGAAAAGAACTAACATTGGGATTTTTTCCCTTCAACAGGAATTTTATCAGACAGATCCAGAGCATTTTAAGGATTCAGTTGCAAGAGACTTCATGTAAATCTTGGATTTTTCAGTTTATATCCTGCTTTCAAATGTGATCCCCCCCGTACTTATATTACATAATCTTCCGCCTTCTGTAGAGGAAGAGACACGAAAGGAGAGGAGTAACCTTACTCTCAACCTAACAAACATGTAAAAAAACAAAACATTTTTAATCCGCATCAAAAGTCCTTTGAGAGTTCTCCCGTTAGTTTTGCAGTCATGTACCTCCAACATCAATCAGTCTGAAAAACTGTCTCATAAGATCGAGCAATTTGCAGGTATCCGTAACAACTGCAGTGTCTCAATTTGTGTGCATGTTTACGTTCAACGGTCAGGTGACAGACACAGATCTATGTGCTGAAATTAGTGTCTGTTTGCAGCAATTTCAGATCGATGTTTATGGTAGATTAATCCTGGACATGAGGCGGTGGTGACAGCATGACACATTTCAGGTCATTTGACTGACATCTCAGATCTTGTGATGTGATTATTGCACAACTTCGAATATTTCATTCAGCTCTACTCCACAGATAAAAGGAAATTCAAAGGTGTTCAATAGTGGTTCTGCCAGCTGGGTGACCATTATATATCCAGTTACATTACTACACACCTCTATAGTGTGCAATCAAAACCTGGTTTTGATTCTGAATACAGCATACTCAGACTATGATGCACACCCACCATGGAGCAATAAGTAGCATTAGGTTACAATACACACACACTCTCGCTGTTGATTCACTTGGCAGCTATTAATACCATCGTGGATATGCTATTCCCGTGATATCATCATGTGACTCATTGTTCCATCATGGTGGTATGCAAAAATCATGCCTATAAACTGATAAACAATAGCGTCACACGTGCCAAGTCAATGGTTGGCCGTGGCACTAATAACAAGCCAAGTTTAGAAATCCACACACAGACACCCGCACTGTGCATTACACAGAGGAATTAACAGACACAGACTCACTTTCACATACTGACGGTGTTTTTAGATACAAGAGGGGTTACACTATGGTGGAGATGCATGGCTTGACCTTTCAGTCTTTTCGTGGCAAGACGAGGGAGGTAGAGATCTTGTCAGTTTTCTCTGTATGTTTGAGCCAGAACTGCTTAAAACTACCGTGTCTGTGTAACCAGAAGTGTGTGTGCTCATTAGATTTGACGGGTTGTCAGGAGGACAGAGTGTCTAAAGTGGGTTTCCTTATGTTAGAAAGAAGAAGCAATCTGTATGAAATGACTTGACCTTTAAGTACATCTCCTTTCACTTCCCTGAATCAGTGCAGTCTTTTTCTCACACATTGACAGACTGTAAACACTGCTGTCAAACCATCCAGAAAGTGGACTTATCTACTTTCTACATCCTCTCCCTCGTCTGATAAACACTGATTATACTGGTTTTTACAGTGTCACGGTTAAACTAAACCCAGAGACACAAACACAAATGGTTATCTTCTTGACAGGCTGAGAAATCGTCCTCTTGTAATACATACAAACTGCAGACATTTTTAAATAAATACTCCAACTTACTCTTAATACACAGCACACAAACTAAGATGCGAAGAAGAGGCGCTGTAAAGGCAGAAAAGGATGAAAATATTTAAAGGTCATGACATAAAGCTACAAATCTTAATGTAGATTTTGCCCTCCAGGCGATGTAAAAACCTAAATGACTCGATTGGCGAACTAAAGGCTCCAAATATTCCAAACATTCAGCGCACAAGTTGAACTCTGTCCTATCGATGCGCTGACGAATATCTTCTTCACAGCCACTGCTTAGACTAAGATAACAGTTTGATTAAGTTTGGTTCACAGTAACTCAAAATACACGGTAACCCAGGTCAAGCTGTTTTAGTACTCAAGGAACTTTCTGTAATGATGTGCGGTAGCTGCAGAGCTGAAGGTTACGGCGCAAAGAGGCGCTTGTTAATTATTTTAGCTGATACAGAAACGCTGTCTCGACTCTGTGCGTGTGTTTTGACTAGTTAAAAAAGATAAGACCTCTTTGAAAATGATGTGAAATGTCATATTAATGGTGAGACTATTCTGATTTGGTCATGTCATGGAAATGCAGAGTCATGCTGCACACAGTATGTACTTCACATCACAATGCAGTGTGTAATTAGATACCAGGAGTTGTACTATATCTGTCAGGATACATCTACTGCTTGCTAAGGGCAATGACAGCTCTGTCAGTGAGCAAAACCTAACACACACTCACACATAGGCATGCATACATATAAAGCTTACACACACAATTAGAGTCACACAGGACAAACCTCCACTGACAATGATGCCCAATTATAATGATCATTACATGGACTCAAGAGCTGAAAACAACATATTTCACCGTGTACAATCTCTAAAGTTCAATCCAGCAATAGGTGCATGTGAGTGCCTTGCTGTCTGCCCGTGGGGGTGCAGAGAGTGTTAGGAGCTTTGTGTGTGTGTGTGTGTGTGTGTGGAGGGATGGTGTTAACATTACAGCTGCCATGTGTTTATTTCTTAGGGTTCTGGTCTGTGGCGTCTCCATCATCTCCACAGGCTTAAAAGTCACTTTCCATCCATTTACTGCCTGTATGTGTTCATGTGTATACAGCATGTGTGTAAGTGTGTGAGTGGCCTGTGGTCGTACATTCATGTATTACCCTGTTAATACGAGAATAATATCTGTATTGTGGACAGTGGTGTTTATCTGTGCGGCATCTACAATAAGAATACATTTCTAAAATGATGAGTGTGTGAGTCACTGCCTTATGTTTGTATGTGTGTGTATGTGTGTGTGTGTCCATATTTGGGTAAGTGTATATGTGTTTACAGTCGTATGCGTCCTTCTGTCTCTTCTGTGTGATTAGCTTCCCATTAACTAAGTCTCGTATCACCCATCAGTGGCTCCAGGCCTCCTCTGTATTATCTCACTGGACAAACAGTCTGTCAGCAAGGATGCCTCACACACTCACACAAACACACACTCACACAAGCACAAGAACAAATATATAGCACACACATAGCCAGTTTTCATTCCTAATATGAAAAGCTATTATGCACTTATATTAGAATATGTGCAGTGTACCCTCACATTACTGTATCTTTGCATAAGCTGACTCACAAACCTGACGTTCAGCACATAAATTTACAGTATCTGGCAGTTGTTACATATTACCCAGAATGATTTCTAATTGAAAATACAGTTTTAGGCTTTAAAGGTACTATATGCGATATTCAGCAGCACTTGTCAGAACAAACTTGGTAGAAACATAGTTTAGTATTCACTAGTATGTCAAAATGAGTGTTTAAATGCCTGATGACAAAAGTAATTATGCTTTTATTCACCTATAATGACCTCATGAAATCTACGTAGGAGTGGGTCCTCCCCCCTGAAGGCTGCCATCTTGCAACACAATATTTCTACAGAAGTAATTATCATTTTTGTGAGTCACAGCTAAAAAATAAACTGGTTTTTAGAAGAAGAGAGGATCACGCTGCATAACAAAAGTTCCCTGTTGCTTCACCGACAGGAGAGGTGAGAAAGGGAGCATTTCAGTCCGCTAGATGTCACATTTTTACACTCTGTACCTTTAAATAACATATATTATAACCTATTAACAATTTCAGCACCGGGTAGTCACTAAATTATATTACCTTTATCAAAAAAGAGGCTAAAAACTAATATTGCTATTAGATAGTGTTGAATATTACAGTTGGAAAGCAATGCAACAGCTAGTCAGTTCTTAAGCACCTCTCAAAATCAAGACTGAGCGGGACTTTGTCAACAACTGTGAATAAAGTTGAAACTGAGCACAAACTGTTTCAAGGGCTACTGATACTCAAACACAGGAGACACAACTTACATTCAATGTTTTGGCCTTTTCTTTGATCAATTCCATTAAATCAAAGCAAACAATACAAATGTTTGCTGCCACCTACTGGCTTGGCATGCATACGCCAATGCTTTCAGTCGTTTTTTTGCGGATCAGCACAGAGATCATTTCACAGCTTTGACATATGAAAACATAATTTTTCAATGAGGCTGTTCTCGTGTAAACAAAGCTTCAATGGGACAAATGTGCCTGTCTCAGCTATAAACACAAAGTCACACAACAAAAACAATAAGCATTTACCCCCTGCCTGTCCCTATCACCCATCCCCCTAAAAATATTGTTCCCGGGGGCTGTGAGTGGGGGTGTGTGTTGGTATTATGGTTGCAGGGGGGGAGTTGGAGAGCATGGAAAACTGTAAGCCTTCATAGTCCCAGAGCACTGTGTCTGTGCGACAGCCAGCTTTGCTCTGCTTCACCTGTTATCTGTCCATCACTCTATTGTGTTGTACCGTTCTGTGCTGAGAGTGCTGAGATCAAGGACACACTTCACAGCAGTAAACAGCATTATTTAATGTTGAGGGAACAAATTCAAGGCACAGATACAGTCAAGGTACTTTAGTGATAAACTATTAGGAAAACTATTGCAAACAGTGAAGCAGACAGCAGATCTATTATGTTACATGAAGTACCACAGTAATGTCTGGATAGTGCTTTCTGAAGGAATTTATGATTAAGCAGATCAGGAACAAAAAGTGAGTTTTATCCTGACTAGACGCAGTAAAGAAGAAGGTATTTTTATCAATCAACATCCTCTCTGTTGCTTAAGTTTCTCTCTGAAATTCATACTGGATCAATTTTTCATGACTCAATAAAAACAATCACGCAAACTTTTCAGACGAAACTTCCTTTTGCTTCCAGAAACTCTCTTACTCAACCACTCAATCATTATCTCTTCAGTAGAAACACACACTCAAACACACATACCCGCGCCTGTATCACTTCCCCTGCTCCAGCTGTGTCTTAAGAAGTCTGGCCCGACCGGTAATCTGGCTGAAACAAAGTTACTGGATCTGTATCCATGACAGGATACAATATCCGTCAGTCCGAAACTCTCCTCTCTGACCTTCCCAAGGTCCTTTCAAGATCATGGTTGTTTCTTTTCTGTAAGACCTGTTGTCTAGCACATATCAAGAACTACGAACACTGATGTCTTCAGCCCTCGCCTCATTAGCCTTCAGGTGTCGCATCTTTAACTCCCACCTGTTAAGACCCTAGTTTGCAGCTTCACCCATGTTACAAAAGGCGTCAGGCTTCACATGAGGGAAAAAAATAACAAAAGCATCATCTCGAGGTGTGAGTTAACTTCAGGACACCAACAATTTGTTCTCAACGTGACAGCAACACCTTCCTTCTGTGTTTCAGTTTAACAGCCAGTGGATTGGCGGTTTTAATGGGGTATCAGTTTGCAGCGAGGGAACTCAACACATCCTGACAGGAAGCTTTGAAGAGCAGAAAGCACGAAGCAGTTTGGTACAGTGAGTCAGCGCTCATGCCTTCTGCTCCTCTTTTTCCTTCAAATGCCTTTTTAGAAATGTCTCAGTCAGGCTTTCAGGGGGAGGAGAGTTTTATCAATGACATCCTGAGAGTGGGATACATCTGTGAATGGACTGAACTGAACTCATTTGATGTGGTGAGATGCATCCATTTCAGATGATCAATGCACATTTAAATGATTGAATCTTGTCTTTCTTGTACCTGTACAGCTAATCAGTTCTCTTTTGAAACTGATTTAAAGTCTCCGTCGAGTCAAAAAGACACGTTTTAAGTTCATCTGCCCTCATGTGAAGAGAAATCCTCTCTGTGAAACCTGACAGCATGGAGCAGTAGAGCAGGTGCGCGGTGACTCGGATGCGGAAAACGATAAAGCACCAGATTTCGGCGACTTCATGCAACTTTAAAAAGATCACGCCGTGACTAGCAAGTTGAAAAGCACATTCTCAGCACTTGGAAACTTCAGTGTCAAAAAGCAACATTTGTGAAGCCATTATTATTTGGCTTCCAATCAGGTAGTTTTCTCTTAAAACAAAAGGGAAAATTCTGCAGAGAGAGAGCGACAGAGTCTCATTAGTGGGCAGTGACAAAAGCAAACCAACTGGCAGAGCTTTGACTGTGAAAACTGATACAGCGGTGCTTATTTCCACCAAGGACAATGAAATGTAAGCTATCACGCTCACTCCTCACTTCCCAGAACTCTCAGTGAAGGCTGCAGCTTGGCGTAGGTGGAAGGTCACAGAAGATCTGTGTGTGTGTGTGTGTGTGTTTGTGTGGGTAATTTAGAAAGTTTGCATAAGTGTGTACGTCCCCCCCGTGTTCTCGAAAATGATGAACACGCTGTGCTTTTTAAGTTTGTAACAGAGACAGCAGCTTCAACACGCCGAAGGGCAAACACAACACCGAAACTATCGCCGATTAAAAGCTGTAATCACTTCACTCACCTGTGACTGTAGAGCCGAAAAACACTCGCTGAAGCTCAGGACTACACTTGGTTTACAGTCAAACGAGAGGATAAGGAAGTGAGGTAGAAATCATCGTATAACAACTCCTCTCTTTACCTGCTCCATCTTTTTTCATTCACTCTTCAGGAAACAAATATTTGCCTGTTGAGTCACATCTGACGCTATAACCAGGACTATAAATCTTCTGTGTGCCAACCAATGAATGAGCCTGTAACTGGTCCAATCAATCACTTATGTGTCAACAAATGAATGAGGTGATTGCCTCGGGGCTTCACGCAGACTGCTATTTAAAAACAGTTCGAACTATCTGGAACTGCTGGAACACACCCCATCCAAATTTAGGACGACCACAAAACCGAGAAATGAAAATAGAGTTTGTTAAAATTAAATTCGTATAAATTCATCCACCGCAGTTTTGCAGCTGAAACCGACTGAGTATAAAGAGCAGGAGAATGTCTCTGTGAGGATTTGATCTGATTTCTAAAGCAACTGCATCGTTCAGGATAGGAGCGCTGAGATAAGAAGCAGGACAAATATTGATACACTCTTTCTGATGCCCTTCATTTCAAACAAAAGACCAAGTGCGAATAACTCTCTGAAGCGGAACACAAACAAGAAGGAAAACTTGGTCGAGGTCCAACTTTACGTCAGATTTCACATATGTCTTCTTCTTTGACAGCTGTTCTGCAGTTTCCCTGACAGACCAGTCACTGTTACTCCTAGTCGACAACACTCGGGCATTTTTTTAATGTTTGAGTTTGGCTCTGAGTGCAAACGCTTTAATGTTCAAGGCTCTTCAAAAAAAAAAAGTAAGTGTCGCCTTAGATGATAAACAGCCTCCGAGAGCAAAGACGGTAAATCTAAAGAAGCGTGTTAAGCTCAGCATGGGCTCCAGAGGAAAGCCGACTCAGTCTGTGACAATGACAGGAAAGATGGACGAGAAAGAGGGGATGACATGCAGGCAGAGGTCACAGCACATAACACACTGAGTATGAGGTATGAGCCTCCGCTGGCTTAACGTCATGGCTCCCAGCTGAAACAATCTTCAATGACTTTAAATAGATCAACATAAAAGAGAGCGGTGAGAAATAAGCGCCCAGGAGAAACTCTCTATAAGAGTGTGGACAACTTCAGATCACTCAAACTAAACTTTTAAACCTGAACTGACGAAAATAAGGTGAAAATAACCCAAAACGCTGCTGAAAGATGGTTTCGCTCACACGCAGGAAAAACTCCAGAAGCTGAGAGTCAGAGCACGATGACACACATCACAGGACTAAACATAACAGACTATTAAATCTGACACGTTCTCTTCACAACACCTCGCCAATCACACTTCAAATACCAAACATGGTCACAGACAAAGCGGCAGATGAGACTAACAGTAACAATGTCCATCCACAACAGTAAATATCTCTGTCCGAAAAGGAACCGAGTAATGTCAGTAGATGCTCGGGTGACAACTGAACTTTAAAATAAGTTTGGACAAAGTGATTTCATAATCAATAACTTGAAAACTCTCAAAAAGGGTAAGGGTGTGTGTTTGGTAGAATAATTTCTCTCTTAATTCCTGATTAGAGAAAAATCAAAACCATTTCATTTTGGACTTCTCATAGTCCTACACATGCTGCAGTGTTACACTAAAAACATGAATGAATCTCTGATATAAAGCAACAGAAGCACATCGTGTCAAGACATGTCGACATCAGTTGCTCCGATTTCTAAAAACTCTCAAACTGTCATCTGAAGTTGCTCCCAACAACTCAGAGGCAGAACAGAGCACAGATTTCAGCTGCAACTTTTCAGACTCACTCACATGTAGGCATGATTTTCAAAGCAAAAGAGAGAGAGGGACAGCTACAGCTATCTCTGATGTGATGAACTGATCTGAGCAAGAGTTTTCAAGAAACTAAAAGAAAAATGAAGCAGCATCCGAGCAACTTTAATGCAAGGCTGAGCAGAAACAGAAACACGGTTGGAGGCAGCTGCGAGGAGGAGAAAAAGTCTGCGGTCACTCACCGTGAGCTTGTGCATGAAGAGAAAACAGTCCGAGCAGCAGCAGAGGACTCCGGCTCCAGAGACAGAGAGACACACAGCGCTGCAGCCTTCCTCCCTGCACGGGCATGGTAGAGTCTGCCGCTCCACTCCTCTCTACTCCTCTCTTCAGTCTGCTCCACGCAACGGGATCCACCGCTCACACACACACTGCCTCTCTCCCTCTGAGTGTGTGTATGTGTCAGAGCGAGGTGGAGGGGCGAGGAGGGAGAGGGGGGGAGAGAGAGAGAGTACAGGGCATGCAAGCTCCAGTATGTGTGTTTCGCGTGTGTGTCTACCGCAACGTGAGAAAGTCCACACCACACGGAACACACCGGCGGCGGCAGCAGTTGCAGTTGATTGTCCTCCAACCCAGGTCTGACAGTAGCAGCCCAGCTGAGAGAGAGAGAGGAGAGAGAGAGAGAGAGAGAGAAGGAGAGGAGTTTACTTCACTTTCCTAGTAAGGGGGTTGACCCACACACACACACACACACACACACACACACACACACACACACACACACACACACACACACACACACACACACACACACACACACACACGCACGCACACACACAGGGGAAAGGGGACATGGGTGGAAGAAAACGGGGGCAGGGAGCAGACAGGAGCAAGATGGGGTTTAGTAGAATAATAGGAGGAGGGTGAGGAGGATATTGAAAACAAGCAGCAGGATCTGTGGGATTCAGAGCCTTAAACAGCTTACAGAAAACTGTTTCCACTTTTTCATTTTCTGCAGAAACTCTCTGAGGGCGGAGAAGTGGAACGAAGCGCTGATTAGAGCAATAAATAGAGTATAGGGTGGTGTTTTTAGTGCTATGGTACAATTATGACCGCTGAATTGGAAATGATGAAGTGGTATTGAATGAAAACATACTGGAAAAAAGTCAAACAAAGAATAAAATATCAGAAAATTTGAGAATAAGGCGACATTTGTGCTTAAATATTGCAAAAACATCCACCATTTGAATGAGCGGCATCGTACTTGTATGATAAAAGCGCCACAAATTTGCCACAGCTGTATGAACTACATTGAATATGTTCTTAAAACAGCAGCAAAGTCATTATGAGGTAGAGTGTTCCTAAAAATCTGTATTCACACACGTGCAGAAACCTGAAAACTTCTGACATTTTTCAGGGTGGGCAGCTTGTGTGACTGCCAACAGCCTTATTTTTAACCTTTACTTCACTGAATGTGGGCGAGGATGAAAACTTTTTTATTATGTGAGCCATGCAGACCTTGAAACACTGAATATAATTTTACATCTATCATCAGAGCACAGGCTTCTGTCACTTTGTCCACTGTCACGTTGTCCACATTACACAGTGGCTGCTGCAGGGTGCGTTTGATGTCATGTCCTGCCTCCTGAGACTTTTTGTACAGCAAGCACCGAAACCATGTGACACGTGAGGGACATGTTGGAAAGTTTGAGGGCAAAGCTCCCAAAAACGACCTTGGAAAAGATTTTTTAATCCGCAAAAATTGGTCTCTCAACAGTCTCTAATTGGAAAACCAGGAAACATGTTCCCTCTTCACTAATGACGATCTTTATTTTTGTCTAAATTGCATCATTTTAAGAAAGAATTCAACATCCGGCACGTGAAAACTTGAAAAGCTTGGACAAAAACAGCCCTCGTCTCAGTGGTGTGCTGTTAACCATTCAGGTGAGCTGGCTGAGACACTTAAAAGAGGCTGTTAGAGATGACATCACCCTGGCCTGGAGCTTTTATACTAATAAATAAATGGGTTGAGACGCTCTAATAGACCATTTCCTTTTCAGAGCTATCCTGTTGCCTGTAAGGCATTTACTGTAGACAAACTCCTCTGTGTGTGTGTGTGTGTGTGTGTGTGTGTGTGCTGACAACACTGCTTTTAGCAAAACCATTACAAACCTGAAACAGCCCTAAATGAGCAGCTCTTCTGGTCCCCTCGACACAAAATGCTGATTTCTCAGTTTTGGGGTTAAATAGATGGGGCAAACACTTTTTGTTTTCATGTTAATCTGTGTCGTTTGTTGCCGCCGCTGTTCTTCTCACTTCTTTTCTTTCTCACACTCGTTCATGTTGTTCATTAGTGACAAACAATAGGCGGCCTGGCTCCCTCGCTCCTCGATGAGAGGAAAAATCACTTCATAAATAAACAGTACTGCCCTATTCTTCTTGTGTCTCCCCACATGCCCTCCTCTCTCTGAAGCCCCATTCCCACACCAACCTCAGCACACAGTTTTCTGACAGTCGTGTCATTATGAAATTTCGATGAAATCACCACCATTAGAAGATTTCAAAGAATATCCTGATAGTTTTTCAGCCAAATAATCTGAGTGAGTTAGAATAGTAGAAAGTTTTCACATAATAAAGCGTCTTTGTTGGTGATTTTGTGATGATTGGGTATTTCGACGCTCAGAACAGCCACTTTGTGTTGCTTGTTGCCATCTGTGGGGAGATAAAACTGCAGTATTAAAATGTAACATAACATTTGGTGACACTTTACGATAACCATAATTTTTAAATGGTAAATAGGCCATTTATAAACAGTAAGCAGATAGTTCATAAATGTTTAATCATCATTTATAAAAAGCATATAGACCAATTATAAATGTCAAATAGATAGTTTATTTATTCTTCACTGCTCTGGTCCTGCATTGAACAGATAAACTGGTGTTATACATGTTTATTCATCGAGCCTGTGGCCCCTCAAAATGCGTCAATTTGGAGACAGAGGAAGAAGAAGAAGAAGGTGGTAAAAGAAACCGACTAAATAAAAGGCTTTTACTCGTCATGCATCGCAGGAGCTTCTTGTCGTCAAAGGGCGACGCCTCTTTCTGCTTCACTGATAGAAAAGGGTGAGCAAAGACCGCTTCAGTTCAGGACCTGACTGCAGGACACTGAATAAAATATCTTTACATTTCATTCAAGGGAATGTATCTTTTCTACAATTCATCTTTCTGTGATTTCAGCTGTATGTCATCTCTCAGATACACACAGCTGTTAAAATCTGTTAAAATTTCTTCATACTCCACAATCTCAGCCCCCCACTCTTGCCCCCCTCCTCTGCTCTTCCTGCCCCCCCTCCCCTCCTCCAGTGAACCAGAATGCCATTTCAAGCATGTCTAACCACGGGAGGCCTTTTAAAAACTGTGACAGCATTTGCCCCTGGTTCCCCACTTGTTGTGTGCATTTGTGTGTGTGAGTGAGTGAGTAATGACACTGTCCACGGTGATTTGCATTCACATATGCATTCCTGAAAAAATCACAGAAAGTTTCAGACCAGGCTGCCCCTGAAACTTTGCAAAGCTTTTATTACTACTAAGGAATGTCCGAAACAAAATGAAGTCTATGTTTAAGTTATGTTTACAAGACATTTAGGATGACGTATCATGCAAAGTCGATGCAACTTGCCGTCGATACAAATAAAAAGGAGCTCCATCAAATGCACAAAGACAGCACTGGTTGCTTACTGACTGCATAATATCTCTTGTTTCTTGAAAAACATCCACTCATATTGACCTCTTGCAGAAATTATCCAGGTGGCTGGCAAGCAAAAGTCCAGGTGAAGTCAAATTTCGGCCTTTTGTGCTCACAAATGCAGCCCACTTTAAAAACCTGCAGGAAATGTTAGTTTAGTGCATGTGTGAATACAGCAAACCACGCACACACATACACACACACAGGCTATTCATCCAGTGTGTCACCCTCATGCTGGGCCTGTGATAAATAGCTGAGACTGTCAGGACCGAAGGATGAGCATCAAACTGAAAGAGAAAGAAGATTGAAGAAAAAAGCTCCTGACAGGAAAAACAAAAGGAGAGATCAGGGAAGACGGATGGTTTTCTCGGGAGGTTTAAAGGGAAGATTTCTAAAGATGTGAATTAATAAATGGGAGACGGTGACCTTTAGGAGACAACTGAGTAAGATTAGAAAGGAAAAGGCATGTGGGGCTACAACAATGTGATGAACAGAAAGGGTTAAAGATCAATTAATGGAGGAAGGGGATGAGAGAATCTTATGTGAAGTCGCAAAGTCAGATTTTTCTACCTGAGAATACAAAAAAATCCAACTGCAAAAGGGTGATTCCTGGATTACGTCTGAGTAGTTACCTCATGTGATATCACTTGAGTCAGTTTGACAATGGGATAGGTTAAACTTTAGATAATGTATGTACCTGGTTTTAGTAAAATGATAAAGGAACAGCAAAGAACAACATCTACACTCGGGCTACTTGATATATAAAACACTAGTACTGCCATATGTACATGCAACAGTCCCATGCCATGTGCATATGGGGTAAGGTAGTTGCCAAATCCCCCTTTCAGCTTGTTACTATCAGGTTGTTTTCCAGTTCATGTGTTTTGTGTCAAAATAGCCGACAAAACCTGTTAGCAAGAGACTGGTCCGACTATAAGAAGTTTGATTTCAGTGCTTTTTCACTCAGACTGACGTGTTTACATGCTTTTTAAAAGTCCAGTTTCAGTCAGACTTTTGCGATTACTATATTTTTTAAGTGCATGTAAAAATACTGACTAATTTGTCCACAGGAGGTGCCAACATGGACACCATCTGAAAATTCCTCATAGGAGCTTTAAAGTAATTCACCTCACCGTTAACACTCCCCTTTGATAGTATCCAACAAACCTTTGACGGACTCAAACTTTATTTGATTAGACAGGTTTGTAAGAAAAGAAATACGAGAGCTAAGAAACTAAGAAAGCTTAGAAATGTGCAAAAATACCTAAATGATTTTTTTTTTTTTTGCCTCCGGTTCAAAAGTCTAGAAAACAAGACTGAGCAAGTAACAAGCACACTTTGTGGTTCCATGGACTCACATTTCTATATACATGTAAATGACTGCGGCATACTTAAAGCTTCACATTTAGACATATTTGTTATTCAAATACATCTGCTCCATAAAGGGATTTCTATCAGTACCGCAGGATTTAAAGACCACCTTATCTTTTCCCGGTTCACTTTTAGAAGCATTTATCCCTTTATTTGATGTGTGAACTGACTAACAGACGGGGGATTAAGTACATTTTAGAGAAACACCTCTGTGGCACAGCACCAGATCTGCTAATCCCCATCCATTCACTCCAGCGTGTCTTTAAACTAACAAGCAGTTTAACATAATCTGCTTTGAGTCTGTCCATTCACTCCTATTCACTGGTGCATTTACATAGCAATCCTTTCTGCCTGAATGCTCGGTGGGGAGAGAGACACACGGAGTGGGCGGGAGAAAACACAGGCATGGGTTTAGATGAGTATAGCTCTCTTTTTTTTGTCTACTACAGCCCATTTTTACTACAAACTACTCCCTCTCAAGAAGTGAGACTGTGCCGGTCCAAACCAAGCCACAGACAGGCTAAAAGAAGGGTCTGTTTTTGTTTAATAGTTCAGAAAAATCAGCTTGGAAACACTTTGCGGAGGAGACAAGGAGGAGTGCATGAAAAACTGGAGGGATGTTAAAATGAAGCAGTTGAGAAAAATAAGACTTTATGGAAAACTCTTTGTGGATAGTTTTGAACCGTCTGTCCACACTTCAGCACAAAGTCTTGAAGTTCAACCAAAAACGCAGAAATACTTCTGTAAAAAGGCCCTGATTATTTAACAAGACAAATTAGAAGAAGTAGGGATAACACACGGTCAGAGGAAGCAGAATGATGAAGCGGCAAAAGAAGAGACGTCTGTCAGCGCCACCTCTGACCCCAGCACTGATTTGTTCTTCATTGACCTTTCACCTTTGGAGAAAACCCCTCCTTACTACTGCGAGAGACTCCTTTTCACAGACGAGAGGAACTTCAATTAAAAAAAGGCTGAAACGGTGAATAAAAGAGTAACACTTCACAATAACCATAACTTATAAACGGTAAATAGACCAATTATAAATGATGCCATTTATAATTGGTCTATATGCTGTTTTTAAATGATGATTAAACATTAATTAACTATCCATTTACCCTATATAACTTATTGTTATTGTAAAGTGTTACCAATAAAAGCCTTATTTACACTTTGCTGGGACATTACAGGGTTCCATCATGACAAACTTTTTAATCAAAACTTTAGAGGAAGCTTTTGTTTTCTACATGGCGTCAGGAACACTTGACAAATCATTGTCCAAGCACATTTTCATAAAGGGTAAAAATAGTTTGAGAAAAGTTTCCTGACCCCCAATAACCTGATGTTGTAGCCTTTAAAACTCATCCGTTCAAAGACTCAGTTCTGGACTAGTATCTCCACCACACACACTTGCACATAAATACACACACACACGCCCTGAGGTAGGTGTCAAACCATTTAAATTTAATGAAGACCTAATGACAGACTGGGAATGGCTTTTACAGCTTGTTATTGTCATTGTGAAACCACTCACTGTATCACTTTACAGCTGCTATAAAATCATCGACATGGATAGGTGTGGTTTGGGCGAGGTACAACAAAAACTGAGAACAAGTATCAGAAGCTCCCTCTGTAATCATGATATCATAAATATACCAATTATTCCTAATTGCTTAATTGTACATTTCAAATGGATGACTGAGTTTCCTCCAGCCATCTGGCAGATGCAGCGTTTTCTATAGGATTTCAATGGTGCTGCTATCCTCTTACTTTGCCCGGTGGCACACAGATGTGGAGTAAAGCCAAACACAGAAGGCTCAGGTTTACATTGAGGGTTTGTAGTGTCATAAATACATCATGACTTGGCTTGTATCAAATAAAAGACAGCAAGTACAAGACATTTGCTGCTGATTGATTGGACTGTAATGAGGAAAACGACTGTCTGAGAGGAGCTCCAGTAATTTGGCCCCCTGTGAAGAAAGGAGGCCGGGGTTGTTAAAGGAGTAAGTAATCCTCCAAAAGGGTGAAAATGTCCTTTCAGTGAAGAGAGAGAGAGACAGTCTGCAGGGGATGGAGAAGTCGTGTGGCAGCTTCTTCTTGAGTGGGAGCTAAAACAGAGAGCAGAGCTGTCCCACCTGCTCCGTGGGATCGCTGCCTGCTCACTTTCCTGATTCATAAATCTGAAAGAGCCAAGAGGATAACGGAGGATCACGATCTGGATCCACGCAATTTTTAAACACCCCCGCTTGTGTTTCCATCTGTTGCACAGAGACACACAAAAAAACAGAGGCGGCTCTGGTTGGAGGTTCCTGTAACACAGTGGGGATGGTGTTTATCTGGTATTTTTCTGTTTAGAGCTCCTGTGAGGAGTTTGTGATAGTTTATCAAACACACTGAAACCAACATTGATGATTCTCTTTGTTGTCGAAAGGAAAGACTGACAAGTTCAATACTGTCATTTTTAGCAGCATTTGGTAATCCGTAATGTAAGGGTAGGTACACAAAAGAAACAGCTTCACACCACTTTCACAAGGATTTGACAAAATCAGCAACAATGGAAGGGTTATCACTTTGTCCACAGGGGGCGCCAAATTCAACATAGACAGAAAGTGCTCTGCAGGGGGTTTAAAGGACTCTGTGACTTCCTGATATCTTAACATTGAATTACAAACAGTTTTTAGTAAGGATATCCTAATACAACTTTTTTTTCTTCCATTTTGATAGCGATATTGTAGCCTTAAGTAATGTCCGAAAACGATATTGATCCAATATCGGCACTAACTTGTGCCTGACAAGTTTCGCACTCAACTGCAACATCTTTGTAACGAAAAAAATACTGCTGCATGGCCGACGTCACTCCTACTGCTTGCTACTTTGCTAGTACCTTAGTACACACTGCTGTTGTGATCACCTGGGCTCTGCATGCTGGATCGACATGCTGGAGTGGAGTCTGGATTGGACTGCTTGTATCAGAGTGCTGATATCAGAGATATTAGATGCAGGCCGATATAATCAGAGGTTTGTTTTTTTGCTGATATCAGACCGATATTTGATATCAATATCGGATCAGGACCTCCCTAGATTGTAGACCATTTTTTAACACTTAAAAATCATCTCACCTGGCTGTTATTACTCACATTAAACTGTCCATCTACAGTGATGGTAAAAACAGAACAGGACCAAATGAATCAGCGGCTGATTGAGTTTTCCTGTATCATTACTGTTAAGACTCTGAGACGTTTTTATTTGTCTTCTTACTGTGCGGTATCTACCCCTTTGTTGATGAGAAGAGTTTACTTTACAGGCCGTCCTTAATTTTAAAGATTACTTACTTGCATCTTGAGCTGCATCCTTATTGACAGTGTTCTTCTTAACAATGGTCTGCTATCAGAAATAACAGACTGTTGCCATAGTGACAGAACAGAAGCAGTTATTTATCACAGCCATGTGAGGAGCACTTTCAATACTGAACATAGTAGAAATGATGGCAAGCGCTTGAAAGAAGACAACAAAAGGAGGAAAATCTTCTAGTTTCATGGCTGACAGATCATCCTCCACTCTCTCTTTCAATTTCTTTTAGGGATTCGCAGGACACAATGAGTTGTATTTTTAGGAGGAAAAATCTAGGATACCAGCATAATTCAGATAGCTCATACCCCTAAAAATGGGGGATTCGTTGTTTGAAATAGGACAACACAACACAACACTCCTCAGATTGCCATGAAACAATAGGAGGCAGCTGATAAGACATCTTAAGACTTCTGAAGTGAACAAATCAAAAGGTTCAACAGGAGTTCAAATCAGATGCGGCAGAGGCACATGCCTGTCATGAGGTAAAACTATTGCACAAGTCCAGCGCTGTTTCTGAGCTATAACTGCAACAATATTTGTCTGTATCCTCACACTAAATAGAGGAGAATCTGTTTGATCAGATGGAAACAAAACGGCATGTAAGCTTATTAAAAACACATCTGTTGTTATTGTTGTATCACCGATGCATGAGGCCGCAGGACATGATTACCATTAAAAACTTTCTCATATTTTATTCCTGTATAAGAAGTGGAGAGGAACATCTAAAGTGGGAACTTATGCTAATAAAAGAGCTACACATGTTCCCATGGCCAATGACAACTGTTCCTACAGCCAGGAATAGCAGAGCCCAATAAAACCTTTCAGGCTCTATTCACCACTGCTTTATCCTTCTCACACCTGCCAGCACAAAGCTTCATTCAGCTGATTTGTAATTCCTACACATGCGTGCTAAGTGTTGTGTGTTTGGAGAATTACTCTGAGCATCACTTGAATTTTTCGTAGCTTTAAAGAGAAAAGACAGAACTAAAGCACCTACTAATTACCTAAAAATACACACAGGCGTATTATGGAAAATATAATGAACGAAACTGATTGCATCAAATATATAGGACTCATAAAGAGAAGAGAAAAGAAAAGCTGCATAAAGAAGAAAATATAAAGAAGGAGAAGAGAGTTGAAGAGAAAAGGGGTTTAAATAAGAGAGTAATGGAAAGAAAAAAGGAGAGAGGAGGCCCTGTTATGGTGGCTGTTTAGGGCCAAACAGAGCAAGGTGACACTGGGGGCAGGGGGCTGACCTACAAACCGCCAGTGACCCCCACACCTGCATGAACACATGGACACACACGGATACAAAGACCTGAACACTGAGCCAGACTCTGTAACACGCACTCACACACTAACTAATTCACACATCATCGCCCACGACACCAGCTTCTCTAAACCTGCCAAAAGGCCACAGTTTGACCGCCGGATAATACCATCTGTTAGGAAAAACACTGGTGCTTTGTAAGTGCTCTCTTCATAGACTTTACTAAACAATCAGATACATACTGCCAAGGATAAAATCAGGGTTTTTACTGAACCCTTCAAAGGAGAGCTATGTGAGAGAGGTTAGGGGAAAGGGCCGGGATAAAGGGAGGGAAGATGTATGTGATTTGATTAAAACGGGCACTCCAGGGTGAAGAAGAAACAGAGAGGAGAGTAAAGAAAGAGAAAGTGAAAGAAATGTAACACAAGTTTGGATTGTTTCTACATTGATGTAATGAATAAGAGAAAGAACAAACATGGATGACAGATGGTATCTCATGCAGCACCACAATTTGGCTGTGTCTTTGCAGGCTGTGACAGGTTAAACAGGAACATAACCACTCCATATGTGCACACATAACCAGAAGAGGCAAAAGGGATCTCAAAGCGGTGGTGCTAGCTCTGCTAATGTTATCCATACAGTACGTTAACGTGCAAGGATAAGTCGTGCTGCAGTGATAGCTCGATTGGGCAATTTACCTAGACTACTGTCGACTTTAAGTGCATGTAAACATACTGAATGTTAAAGGGATATTCCGGCGTAAACTTAATTTAGGGTCAAACACACCGTAACACCAAGTTAGACACCCCCTCGAGAGATAAATGTTGCTGACTGCTTGCTTCTCTAGTTATACAAACTTAAGTAACGAGTTGCACGATAGCAATACACAGCGGTCTAAGGAGTCAAGCACAAACCTTAACCAATTTCCTGATTGCCTGACGTCTTGAGCAAAGAGACTAAACACAACTCACCCACTCTCTTCCAGCAGCCGCTTGTTTGTAAGGAGACCTCGGGCAAGTCCAAACTGACAACAGTGGGGTGACGCAGCTCAAGGAAGAACATTTATCATCATTACTTTATCATTTCCTCGAAGTAATAATCACCATATTAATGATTATTTGTGATGGACTCATCCAAGGTCTCCTTACAAACAAGCAGCTGCTGGAAGAGAGTAGGTGAGTTGTGTTTAGTCTCTTTGCTAATGAAATCAGTCAAAACTAATAAGATGTTTGGTGGCTAGTACTACGGCTAGGACCTTATATGTACTGTTGATGAAGTTAGGTGCTGGTGTGAGCATTATTTGTGACTATAGAGTGGCTTTTTGGTTGAGGTTTGTTTATGGCTCCTCAGACCGCTGTGTGTTGCTATCGTGCGGTCGTTGCTAAAGTTGGTATAACTAGAGAAACTAATGAGTAAACTAACACTATTTTAACTGCTGATGGTTTCTTCTTTCATGCATTATGAGCTAAAAGGTAAAGGCTCTCTTGAACCTTGTCCAACACTGATACATGGTGTCAAACAGGACAGCTTTTTGCATCTCTGCTGACCTCTCACTGAATGTACAGCACAAGTTTCTGATGTTAACAAAACCAGACAGGAAGGAGGGACAACAGGACGCTGGGAGGGAGGACAGAGTTGGGCAGGAGTTGAGTCAGATAGGGGGAGGTGATGGGAGCAAAGCGGGGTGTCGGAAGGGTGGCGGGGGGGCATGAGGGTCTGCTAGGGGTGAGTGGCGCAGTGGGATAAGAGCGTGGGGAGTTCATGCCCCCGCCAGGCCCTTTTCGCACTGCATAAACAAAGAGATTACAGTGAGAAGGGGCTCTGCTGCTAACAAGCAGGGGCACCACACACACACTCGGACACAGACACACACAGTCACATTCATATAGGAATCATACACACATGCACACACATACACAAAACAAGCATGTAAGGACATAAACGCACACACGCACACACACCAGAATAAAATATGTGCACATCCAAACAGTTCGTGAATACAATAAACTGACACACACTGCTAACAAGAAGCATCACAACATAGTGGCGCCACCTGTCTCCTCTTCAGCAATTAATGAGCTCCCGGCTCCCGGGATGCTACAACGAGGTGGCAATTAGCAGGGAAAAGAAAGGGGGAGTCATGAAATGAGGGAGGAAAAATGGATGACAGGAAGGGGGTAGGGGGTTTAGGAGAAGAGAGAGATGAATAAGAGAGAAAAAGAGCTGCAAGATAAATGAAAAACAATGAATTATAGTCTCAAAAGTGAAGACAAAGCAGCAGAAAGACAAACCCAGAAACCCTGATGGACCCCTATTCAGCTAAAAGAAGTTTGTATCAGTGAGTTAATTTGTACAATTTCAGTATTCTTGTTTTCAGATTAAAGGGTGAGTGTAGATATCGTGTTTTGAAACATCCAAGCCTCATAATACAAGTGAAAGTGCAACAATGGGCACACAAGCCTAATACAAATAGACTGAAAAAAGTTATTTCAGTTGGAAACCTGAACATCTGGCTAACAATTAAGTTTTAACTTTCTGTAAAAATCATGTTTTTGTCATTGGTCGAACTTTATCTCGTTAGCCACTTACCAAGGAGTTTGTCGATTGTTTTGGTTCGTCGACCAGGAGAAAGCTCAGTATTAACAACAAGCTGAAAGGGGGCTTGTCGGCACTTACCAAAACAGACATGAACATGCTTTTGACAATAAATTTGATTCTTACCCGTGGTTTGCAAGCAAAGACCCTCTAGCACTCAGTGCGTTTACATGCACAGCTTAATCGGGCTAAGCTCATATTTTGTTTTTTTCACCGAATTGGACCTCTCTCCTTGTCCATGTATACATGCAGCTGAGAAAATCGAACTATTGATGGGGACATGTCCTCAGGGGTGATATGGGTTTTTTCCACGGCGCACAGCAGGTCCATGCCAGACGTCAGAGGTGGCTACAACTGCTTTTTCTGCAGATAAGGTGCATGCTACTTCTCTTCTCTGGTGTTTTTGTTCCGGGGTTAGGAGGACGTGGCGCACGTGTACATGCATTGCCCAATCATTCTCCAACTACACTGGTTACATGATAGAGGAAATCGAATTCCAATCGCATTGTCAGGGTGTCTTAATTCGGAGTTCTCAAACTCTGATTATAGTCAGACTAAGGTATTTACATGCTCTTCAGTTGTCCGGAGTGTCATGTAAACTTACTGACTGGCACCACTGATTAAATAGCACTGACTGGCGCCACTGCATCAACTTTAAGTCAAGTCCAGGTTGTGTACCCATATCACTACCCATACTCCATCCATACTGGGTGGGGCAGTATAGCAAGTCACCAAAGTCAAGCAGAGCATTTCACCTGCATGTTTCAGTCCATCACAATCTCAATGACTCTTTCTGTAATTCAGACAATCTGTGTTTTCCATTTGTAAGTTTTAAGATTCCTCAAACACACACACATTCTTTTGTTTGCCACCTGATAACAGGCCATCATTCATACCACCTCTCCACCCCTGTGACCCCTGATCCCTGAGACCTAAATGCGGAACTAGAACTGAGAGACTGGTCACGCATTTGCTGACAGCGATCGCTCATGCAGACGCACGAACGCACAAAAGGCACAGAGAAGGAAACCACACGCCACTCATGTCAAACAATTGCAATATTGAAAAGCCATTAGCAGCATTATGGAGCTAAAGGACCTCAGAAAGAAGAGAGAGGAAATAAGCACCTGCAAGTTAAAGATTTATTGCTTTTTATTTTATTTAGATCTTGAATTAGCAGCCTTGGACTCCAGAAGCATAACGTGATCATGGTGCATCCTAGAAAAGACAGAAAAGCAGAAACAGCTCCACAAGGAACACACACATTCATCCGCTCCCATTTTATCAAACCTTTACCATGCCCGCAGACACACACATTCACATACAGGGCAGGTGTGGGGTCAGTGTTAGGGTCAGTGGCCTCGGTTCAGCTCCCAAATATAGAGCATCCTCTATGCCGGGATCCTTAAGTTCACTGCAGGTTCTCGTATGACCACCGTGAACCCTTTATGTGCAGAAACACACATACCAAATACACAAAACATACATTCATTCATGCGTACGCTTACAGACACCGCACACTCACATAGGCTAACATGCAACGCTCATGTGTTACACAGAACACATTAACACGAAAACACACACATGAAATCCCATGTACACGCTGGAGTACCCTAACACATCATTAAGATCTCTATCAGCCTGCTATTTGAAAACACTAATGCTCATTTCCTCTCCCTCCCAGCCCCCAAACCCGTCATCCATACCAACTTTTTTCACAGTTCTCTTCTTCTGTTTCTCCGTCTTTCCTGACTCTCAACATATCCCTCTCTCTCCCTCTGACGTTACTATTCACAGTGTCCATTCAGTGTGTAACAGAGGACCTCTTCTATGGCTGAAACCTTAGACTGACACTCTGACCCCACAGGGTGACCTTTGCACTTCAAGCTAACGGCTCTGACACGTACAAACATGCCAATACACGTGTGTGTGTGCCCATTTGTTGTGCGTAGTAGCTTGAAACTGATCCTCTTTATCCTCTCTTGCAGTGTGAGGACGTATGTGATGTAGAAGTAAACTAGTTACATACCACTTGTAGTACTTTGATATTTTTCTATCCTACACTCAAAAGAGGAAAACAAAAAACAAAATATCACGAAGATTAATAATATTTTTCAGGACTAAAAGGGTTAAAGACAAATGCTTCACAAGGAATGTGACGACAGAGAGACATCTGAGCTAAACTTCAATCGCAGGTCTGCTTCACAAATGGCTTTTTAAGTCATGTGCTCATGAAAAAATACTGTTTGTTCTTTGCTGCTCTTAATTAGCACAACATGTTTTTAGCCATCGGCCAATAATACGCTGAAAAACAATTAAAAAAAACAGGAAATGTGTTGCAATCAAGAAAAAATTAGAAACCATAAATTTTAGTCTCTCGCTCTCGCTGCTCTCTTTCTATACTGCTGCAGCACATTGATAGATATTATGGCATTTATGCTCTCTAAGAGGTTTCAGTGGAGTCATGTTACTACTAAAATATTTTGATTGTCAGCCGTCTCTGACCATGTGCATCTCATTATCTCATTTCATCTCATCTCATGATCTTGTCGGGCTTTTATACATTTCTACAGCTGAGTTGCTGTAACAGTTTTCAAAGTTACTGTTGGGACGGTATCATGTTGGTAACATCAGGTTTTTTTCTTTGTTTGGATGTCATTTTGGGTTCTTAAAAAGTCCTGAAAAGGAGAGGTTCGAGGTAAATAAGGTCAAGAGTAGGAGAAGGGAACATGCAATTAAATTTGTTAAAGTGTCAACAACAGCTCAAGTCTTCGTTGTAACTCAATCTAGTCATTACACCCTGAAGAGCACAAAAAGACCCCTGACGTGTGCGTGTATGCACTATATGTATATATGTGTGTGTGAACTGGAGCGTCTGCACAGATATACCACCATAATGTTTGCACTGCGATCACTTTTCAGCCCCTACCCACAAAATGAGTCACAAATGACGCCTTTAAAATGAACGTCTAACGCTAGAGGTTAGCGCCTACTTAGCTCTTTGTTAGCATACTTAGCTGTTGCTTAAGCTGCTGTTATGACGTGACTTACAGCTTGTGGTACCAGGCCTTCCTGGGAGGTCATTACAGATGGAGCAGCTTTCACTAACAGTTGAGATGCAAATCTGTTTATAAAAGACTCATCTGTGAGGCCGTCTGCACAAACACACTTTCTGAGTCATACTGAATCAACAAAGTGCAGAGTGAAGGAAGAAGACAAGCAGAAAATTTGACTTTTCAGCTTCTGGTTGGGATATCTTTAACAGAGCTGCTATGGGTTCATCTTTTAACATTTAGCATGTTTAATGCACGATTAAGTCGAGCTACGGTGATAAGGTGATTAAGCGATTGAAATTGACTTCTTTTCTTGCTCCAGTTTACATGCACCGTGCAAGAATCAAGCTATTGATAGGGGCATGTCCGCTTTTGTGATGGTAGGGCGCAAATCCCTCTTTTAGCTTGCTACTATAAGGTCGTCTCCTGGTTAATAATAATAATAATAATGCATCAGATTTCGTATAACACTTTATCCAAGACCCTTAAACAGCCCTACATCGGATACATCATTCTTTCGCTCACACAGTCACACCTCGGTGGTGGTAATCACATCTACCCTGGGGTAGACTGACAGAAACATGGCTGTCGGTTAGCAAGGTGGGTTAAGTGTCTTGCCCATGGACACAAAGGACAGACTCAGGATAGGGGGGAATCGAACCACCAACCTTCTGGTTATTGGACGACCACGCTACCTCCTAAGCTATGGGTTGATGCGCTTATCAAATAAGCCGGAAAACACATTAGTTAGAGGCTAACAAAAGTCACTTGTTGTTTTACATCCTTTCCTTATCTGACGAGGTTTTGTTTACTACCTGATTCCTCACAATACATCCATGCTGTTCAACCATGGAAACACTGGAGCATGTGCAGAACACTTGTTTCAGTTTGATCGATCTCCAACTGCATTATCGAGGTAGGTTAGTCAAACTGTGAGAAGTTTGATTTCAGTACAATATCAGTCGGACTAACGTGTTTACATGCATGTTAGCGTACTGACTGCGAGTGAAAGCAGTCTAAAGTGGGTGTTTTAACCTTAGCTTGTGAAGCATAGCAGATTTGCTCTTGCACAACCTCTGTTTGCATTAAATATCCAGTTTTTATTGCTTTCTAGGATTCTTTTTTTGTCTTTCACACATAACAACTTATAATGAGTTGACTGCTATTTCAAGACTCTTGGCAACCAGTATAAAGTAGCAGTGATGAATCCCCCCGTGTGTGTAAACAGATTTATCCTCTTTATATAAAAGTTATAGCTCAGTATAAAAATGTAGTAAATTAACTCGAGTTTACTCATGTTCTTCTCATCCGCCCTTTGTTTAATCATGCAAAGATGAGCAGCTTTTGTGTGTCTCTCTGTGTGTATGTGTGTGGGTGTTTGTGTGTGTACAGAGGTTGAGGTATCTTGAGAACATTATTGGTTATTCTAGAAGATCGGCCTGTGACATTTAATAACAAGCCCCCGTCTTCTAATCTAAAATGCCTCCAGCTCTCCAGGTACGTTGGTCCGGCTCAGTATCAGGTGCGGAGAACAGATGAGCCTCTGAACTAGGAAAGCACAGCAACACATACACAAACACACAAACTCATTCAGCCCGACCTCAGCCTTCAACAATGCCACATTTGTCTAACAGCTGATCTCCATATGATAGAGATAAAAGTATATTAGGCGGGACACACACACACACCAACACACACACACACTAACGCACACACAATCATGTCGTCAGATGGTTATCGTATTTACATTATCATTAGTTGTGGATGAGACTCCGTCACGATCTGTGTGCTGTTCCTGCTAGTATTAGAGGCAATTACCGTTCAAGAGATAAGCCCGTGTGTAGTGCACACTCATACACACACAGAATCATTGTGTACTTACAGGGTATTTGTGTAAATGTGCAAATAAATGTGCACAAAAAAATTAGTTTTGAAGAGACAGTGAAGATAAAAAAGCAACATTTTAGAGTTACAAACTTCTCACTTGTGTTAACAGATGCACACTTTGAGTATCCACACACCCACACGCACACACACAGACAAAATCCGACCCCTCTTCCCCTCCCCATGGCTCTGAGAAATTACTGCCACCTGAAGCGGAACCCTGTCCATCATGCGGAGGCCCCCCAAAGCCCCACAGGTGTCCTTTAACATGTCCAAAGGTTCCCCCACCCCCCCCCCTTCGAGCTCTGCATGTGGCTATTCATCTGGCTGCAGAGGAGGACATCAAAACAAAACACAACCCCGGGGGGAAAAGCTCACAGCTAAACGTGCACATGAATCACTCCGCGGTGAGACACAGCGTGGTGTGACAAGTCAATCGCCCAGTTAAATGTAGATCACAAAGACAGAAAATGTTTAGTATTCTACCTCGGAAAAACACAAACTTGATTAGTATTCCCGCTGCATCCTCGTTGTCATCAAATGCTTCAGAGTGTATGCTGCACACACTGACCTCACTTCACATAACCCTTTTTGTTCTGCTTCCCATCTTCACTTGTGTCTTTGTTTGATTTTTTGTAATAACTTGACCTGTAGCCAAAGAGCAAATTACTTCATCCTGACCAGACTCGCAATGTGGTGATGAACGCAATGAGATATGGAAGACAGGTGGACAACATGCCAAACCACAGAAACACAAACACGGGCTGGCTGTGGATTAAACAAGCGCCGCTAAACAAAACAGTATTTGTTTAAATGGAGGGAAATGGAGCGGTTACCAAGTCTTGCTAAACGGCGTTTGAGTGAAAAGCAGCAAAGACTTGGCAAAACGTGATCACTCCACATTAACAGGAAGACGCTGACAGCACGATTTAGAAAGCGACAAATGATGCTTTCCATTGTAGCTCGCAGTAGAGCGCTGATTGATTTTTATTGTAAAATCTTGATGTCTGACGCCAGGATGGAAAAGAAGTTGTGAAGTTGTTGTGCAAAGAGACCAACAAATAAGACACTGGTTGTCCGAGAGGCTGAAAGGCAGTTAAGGCCACAGACAGACGCACAGACAGTGAGACAGTCAGACTTTTAAGATAAACACACAAACTCTCAGAGTCGCCCAGGAAGAAATTCTTCACTTTGAAGTCAAGCCATGTAACCTTGCAGCAGTCTGAGGAATTGAAGCACCGTCCAAACAAACGTCAACACTGCTAACACCCTCAAGGTCACTGTGAGAGTGTGTGGGTGTGCGTGTATGGAGGGGGTGTGGGTGTCTGAATTCTCGTCAGTCTAAATTCTAGTGTGTACATGTGTGATGTGCGTTTGGAAAGGCCTCGATAGCAGTCATGTAACTTAATTCAGATTTTCTCTTTACTCTTAATGGAAGGAGGATTTAAGAGACGCATGACCAATTAATTAGGCTGATTATTGGCATTATGACGTAATCAGCATGAGTGGGTGGCTGGGTGAAGCCACTCCGAGAACAGCACCCTCTGTTGGCAGGCTGCAGTATAGGTCATAAATCCCGCCTCCGCCAGCAAAGCTTAAGCAGTTGTGGACGAACGTTAGAAATGTATTACACAGAACATTCTGTCTCTTTTTTTCTGTACAGCTCAGTTTTTCAAAGTTATTAGGGGGTTCATGTTTTCTATGATTGACACCTGATACAGTCTATGGGCGTACAAAGATTGTGTAGCTCACCCGAGGGACACGCTATTTGAGCGTCATCACAGCGACTCTCAGTGACTCTCCCGCCAAATGCGCACAATCCTACTGCGCAACACTGGTTTCAGGAAATGAAGAAAAATCACAGAAACACTGAGAGCTTTTTGGCTTCAAATCCGTATACAGACGGGAGGCGGAACTAAGTTGTCCATAGTATGTACAGTCTACGATTTCTACATGACGGTCCTTTTCCTTTATTTTTAACATCAGATTTTAACATGGCCGGACAGAATCCACATGTCCCTCATAGCAATATTGACCAAATATTGTCTCTTAAAAATATTTTTAAAAATACACTCAAATTCAGTTTTTTTTCTTATTTGTTTGTATTTTTTTTGTTTATTTGTCAAATGCAGGAAACAAGGGACAGTGTGAGATCTAAATATTGGCTACTGGCCAACCAGCCGTGACATTATCAGTATAAGTGATATCGGTCGACCACTGTTAAACAGTAGGAAGACCTTTTTATGCAGCACTCTCACTTTTTAAATCATATTCAGCAGTAAATCTGTAAAAATTTAAAGTTGAATTTCAGCTTTAGACCAGTGCTTAATATATTTGGACATTATGGAATCTGTTCTTAACTACTGTCTGTGATAAAAACACTCTTTAATTCATGGTTCATACACAGTTGTTATTTCCATACTTTTCCACACCCTACTTTCTAGAATTATTCTTGGGAATACCTACTTTTCTATATTAGAAATCAGTATTTTATAACTGTGGTAATATCGTCTGTTAACATAAATATTTTCCATACTTCATTTTTCATTTAGCATACTTTTTAAGACCTGGAAATTGATCAAATTACTTCCATACTTTTGGAACCATGTTAATTATGATGGTTGTGCCACATTGATGTAAAGGAAGTAAAGGAAAACGATATCACTCTGCATTGATTTTCACTCCGTTTTTGACAATCCCTCCATGTTTAAATCCATTCAGTGTTCAATCTGGTGAACACACAAACAAAATAGTTTTGTCTCATGCCAGCACTCAGGAAAACATATTGTCTCATATGAGTGTCTGATCAACAACAAAGCCTGTTTGCGTGCATTCCCCCCTTCACTTCATCACAGTTAGTTTTCTGTCTGTTTCGGCTCATCACAGCTGAATGACTTCAGAGACAACACTGCTACACTTTGAACACAATCCATGCATTGCTGGTAAACAGTGGTGTCCCGTTGCAGTGGTTTATTTGGGAGTCTGTTCTAACCCAAACAGGGATTACAACAAAGCCCGCAGGTCCCTCTTTTAGACCACTAAGTACTTTTTGCTGCTGCTGCTTCTGCCGCTGAAGGCGAGTCGACGGCTGAAGTACAGGCAGCTGTTTGTGTCCAAGTGAAAAAAGAGACAGGAGAACTTACCGGCAGAGAGAAAAAGTGTGCTTACAGAAAGAGTGTCATTGCAGCAGCTGAATAGAAGACACTTATCCCTGTCTGGTGAAACCTTGGCTCGACTCTATAATGCTTCAATTCAGTTACTTCAACTCAGCCAACACTTGAAACTTAATAATCAATTCTCCCAAGTTTTCAAATTCATGTAGATGTTTTTTCCTACATGTTAGAGACAGAAGAAAAGTTTTGGTATAGTGCCCTCTTGGGGACAAACAACACTTTTCCCCAATCACTGCCAGACCAGGAGACTCTTGTAATACTTTATTCTCGCCCACTGGATCAATTTGAGGTGTTCTACTTGGATCAAACTTGAGCAGAAGCTGTTAAGCACTAACATACTTTAAATACTGGGGCAGTTTTCAGGACCTGGTGTTTAATACCATCCGATCTGGTTGAATCAAACTACCTGATGCAATGGAAAACCCTGCTGCGATAAAGCCCGAGCCTGTAATGGAAATCCACCTATTTTATGATAGGAACAAGAGCATTTATCCATTGAAGAGAACATTCATGCACAGTTAGGTTTGTATCTACAACAAATTCATAACACAGAGACTTGGAGTGAGATGTAATGGAAAAGCCACTTTTTTCATTCACGAGTTCATGACCTCTCAAATACTTCGCTCTGCATTTACTCTCACACACTTGTTCACACACACACACACACGGCTTCTCCACGCTCTGCAGTGTGTACCTCAGAGCGCAGTCATGTTGAAAGATGCTGTTGCCAGCACACCTGCTTGTGCGCACCAGTGTTTGTATGCGCATTACCTTGTGTGTGTAAAGTATGAGCGAGTGCGTACGTGAAAACATGTTCTCGTGTTTCAGCGGTAATGGCCCTGCTGAAACATGCGTCTCCCGCTCAGAGGGTCCGGGCTGCTGTTTAATGCAGACGCCACACAGGAGGGTTTCCTCCTTGAGAGAGTCAGAGTGGGTCACCTGAGCACGTAGAGGAAGTTTTGGTAACATTTAACTTTACGCCTCATCTATAACGCATTGTAAATATATGTATAATGCATTATAATCACGTTATAGCACTCTATAATTATAGTTATAAGCACTTGTACATGATCATAACTCTTTATAGCAATAATCATAACACATTATAAAGCATTTTATCACGACTTTCAAGGTCAGGTATTATAATGTGTTATAACCGTTAACAACTCACTGACAATGCCCACATAGATAATGCATTATACATATATTTATGATGTGTTATAACTTGCTTATAAACGTTTATAACTGTCATTATAAACACTCATAAATGATCATAATGCTTTATAGCAATAATCATAACACATTATAAAGCATTTTATCATGACTTTCAAGGTCAGGTATTACCATGTGTTTTGATTATTGTTATAAAGCATTATGATAATTAATGAGTGTTTATAATGATAGTTATACAAGTATATAAGCAAGTTATAACATATCATATGTATGATGCATTATCTATGTGGGCATTGTCAGTGAGTTGTTAACAGTTATAACACATTATAATACCTGACCTTGTAAGTCATGATAAATGCTTTATAATGTGTTATGATTATTGCTATAAAGCATTATGATCATGTACAAGTGTTCATAACGATAGTTATACAGTGCTATAACATGATTATAATGCATTATACATTTAATTATAATGCGTTATAGAGATAGGCGTCAAATAAAGTGTTACCAAAGTGCTATCACGGGGGCTTCTAGAGTGCATTAGATTTGACTTCAAAATCTGATGCTTTGTAAGAAAAGCAGCCAAAAAAAAAAGCATTTTAGGGTTTTCACTGAAGCCAGAATAATATGAGTAAGGAGTTATGGAAGCTGTAGATCAATCAAAGCTACTCTGTAGTTGTCCAAGGCTGCAGCAGTACTACAGGTCTCTTTTGAGTTCCTGTTGCAAACATTCCTCCGACTGAGAACCTCTCCTTCACCTTCCTCTGCTGACCAGGTACCATCTGCTTCATATATTCCAAACTGCTGGCTGCAGTGTGGTCCCCATTTAAAACATCCATATGTAAATGTGAGCCGCACCTGCTTCCCCTCGCTGAACAGACCCATAATTTTAAGAGAGCAAATATGCACAGGCGGAGAATATTTCTATGCAGATGTCTTTCCCTGCAGCTTATGCAAGGACATCTTTGACTTTTTACTCCCACACTCTTCTGTCATTCAACGTTGGAAAAAAAAATAAAAGTTGGAGAGGATATCATATACTTTGAGTTCTACCAAAAGTAGACCAAGCCAGTCACTGGATGACAAAAAAGACTGGAAAATTTCACCAAGCATTCAATCAGTGATTTATATCGCAGCATTTGTGCCACTGAGTATTAGTCTCTGTGAGGTTTGAAAGGGGATTTGATGCCAAATGGTCGCAGTTGCCAAATTGGACTGCTGGATCAACCTAACCAGCAGCCAAATCTAGAGACAGAGAGAGGAGAAGCTGAGGCAGACTTTTAGCCTCTTTGCAAAAACTCCTTCCATCAGTCTGACAGTTCACTGGGCTTTAACTTTTAAATAATCTAAAAAAAATACAGTTTTTATGGATGCAGAAGTAAATAAAAAAAAAATACTTTTTCAGATTGAGTGTCTACGTGACACAAAATCGAAACTCTCGTACAAAACCGTGGACATTTGAAGGATTTTATAAACTTCCCCAGGCAAAGTTGGACAAGCCTGGACAGCCCCCCAAAAAGAGGACATGTCCGGGTAAAAGAGGACGTACGGTCACCCTAATCACTACAAACTAAAGAAATCACAACACTGCACTTATCTTTAGATATGCACACCAATAAAAAGTACTCCTAAATTTGACCAGACCCACAACTCTGAGACACTGACTCTTCTCTTGAGACCTTGAGTTTGAAGGATTGAAACAAGTGGCCAAAACCCTCTGACTGCACACCAGGAGCTATTTTGGTTAGCCTGGTTGGTCATAAAATCAAGTATCTGCAGTGAGAGTCGTACGGTGGTGTGAGCGCCAGTGCCCACTTGATTTACCCTCGTGAGTATGAGGGTCAGCTACTGTTACTACATCAAATCCCACCGATATGTATTTAGCTGACCAGACTGGTGGATGTTATGATTGTATTTACTCTTACCTGTAAATGAGTTTTCATCCAAGCTCACAGATGGTGCTGGCCACACAGCTTCACAGCCCCTGCATGGACACACACAATCGAAAGAAAGAAAGAAAACACTATTAACAGGCCCTTGAGTAAAGTTAATGTAAAAGATTTAATGCTGTTAACTCAAGAAGTTCATACAAACACAGAGCAGTGATTCCCTGAGCGCAGGCTGTGTACTTGAGCTCAAGTTACTATGAACACCTGTGAGGTTTCAGACTTAAATAAAAGGCCACTTTAGTCGTATTTTAGAGCATCAAATGAACTTGTTTCAAAACAAGATCCCTAACTAAAGCATAACTCAGCCTGTTTTTCTTGTCACCACGCAGCTTTGTGTTTGTTTCCACTCTCAAGTTGAACGAAGCATAAATGAAGATATAAAAAGACGCCATACTTGAACTCTAAATCATTGTGTTTTTCTGTACAACAGAAGTTCAGATTTAAGGGTCAGGTTGTTCTGATTCCCACCTGCAGCGCTGGAAAATGAAGGTCAAATAAAAATCCTTTATGCAAACATGACACTCTAGGCGGGTCCATTTCTTCATCTCTAAGAAAACACAACGTCCAAAACACTGTAACTCACTCTGGATTCATTTCACACGGCGGTTCGTTTTATTGCCACCTAATAAACCACCCCAGCCTCATGTACATGTGCGAGTGTATATGTGTGTGTCCTTCTGTTTTTGTGTGTCCGTCTGTGGCCTTTCCTGCATGTTTTATCCCCTATAGTCCGAACCCCTGTTAGACAAAGAGGTCGATTCATTTAAGGTGTTAAAAAGGCCAGATTGTCCATAAATCAAAGCTTGACAAACTTTAATACATCCCGCAAACCACAACTTGTGGAAAAAGAAATTAAAATTACCACATTTTATCCACATAAAGGTGCCATTCAGTTACTGACAAAGAGAATGACATTACTTTTGGTCAAAGCTGAGGGTCAAAAATTTCCAGGATCACACTTCTTTTAGCAAACACCGCTCCAGAAAACCAAAACCCTTCATGTTATAATAGCAGTGACTGAAAACAAGCCTTAAAGGTTAATAAATCCTCTTTAAAAGCCCTAGATTAAAAAACCTGTTAGCATTAAGAAGACAAACAATAATGAGTGAGAAATATATGACTGCAGGAGGAATGGGATATTAGGAAAAAAAAGGAAATATCAGCATGAATGTGGTGATCATATCTGACGACAACTACATGGTTCTTTTCTGACAGGAAGTGTACAGTTTTGTCTTTGAGCCACAATGTCCCTCCCAAAAAAAAGCAATTTTTATCAGTTTGACCTGACCTTAACGCTGCAAGAGCAAAATAATCCGTTTCTCTAGAAGTATGAGGTACTAAAAGAATAAATGACTCTATCAGGAGTCTTCTATTTAATACTGAGTGTCTACAGTGCACATTAAACCCAGGGGTAACTACCTCAGCTCACCTGAGAGCCAAAGACCAGTCATTTTACCGACTAAAATATCCTCAATCTACCTCCCGTCTGATCTGAAGTATGCGGCGAGTTGAAAATGCCACTGCAGGTGTCGGTTTACTCCCCGGCCTTCAGGTATCAAAAGCAGACATGTCGTGGCGAGAGCCAAGCGGCGTGCCAGACAGTTGGTTGTTTCTAAAAAGGATCAGTGAGGCGGATTACTGCTGAAATCCCTCCTTTCATTGAGTTCCTACAAACTGTCATTTCTCTCTATGCTTCACAAAAGCCAATAAAAACCCTGACAGGTAGGATGACTTCAGGAAAAAGGGAGTCTGCTGCAGGAACAAAAGTAGACACAGGCAGACCCAGAAAAACATTTTACCCTGTGTGATGTCTATTTAAGTGTTTTTCTCTTCAAGGACTGCATTTGTTTTTTTAAGACACTTATCCTTCACACTGCAGGACCTTTTATTAGTGTGAGAGTGGTGCTGATAGGAGAGGGGTTTCTGTTGAGGCTAGAAATTTATCACTGTTGACGAGTACGACAGCTGCTTTGTACAAATTCAACATGCAGCCCCATCTTTGTTTTTATTTTTCATTTACAGAGAAGATCCCAAAATACTTCTCAGATGTTTTGGTGTTGTGATTGTCTGCTCATAAAACCTTATTCTAGGAGCTTCAATATGGGCTAAAATTAGGGCTGGGCGATAAACCAAAAATTTACAGATAACGGAATCTACAACAACAACCGGCGTTATTTTGATCATGTCAAGATATTCAGTATCAAAAATAAATAATTAAAAGTTGGTTTTGGATGTGTGTAGGTAGGCTATGGTCTTATGTCCTTTTAAGACGTTGTCCTCTATCAGAGACGTGACTCCACCCCATCACAAAGAGGTAAAGACAGGTGAGGAGATGGAGGACGGTTTAAAAGTTGTAAAGGCTGAAGCGGTGGCTGAAGTAGACAAAGTTATTGTAGAAGGGGGTGAGCAGTTTGTGGAGTAGTTATCGTCCATTTATCGTTATCAAGGTGAACTGCTTAATGTATCGTGATATCGATTTGAGGCCATATCGCCCAGCCCTAGCTAAAATTTTAGAGGTCTAGGTTTAGAGGTCCATCATTATACAAATTTGAAGCCAAATTGCTCTTGGTGTTTCCATTGGTGAACCACCAATTGCGCAGTAGCGTTGTACGTATCCGGTGGGAGAGTCGCTGTGATGACACTCGGCTCAAACATAGTATCCTCCGGTGGGCTACGCTATCTTCGTACGCCCATAGGCTGTATCAAGTGTCGATTATAGAAAACATGAACCCCCTAATACGAGCTGCACGGAAAAAAGAAGGCTTGAGCACAAACCAGTCTGACAATAATTACATGTCAACATCGCAACCAGAGGGGTAGAAACATTTATATTCCGTGTAAAGTTTGTCTCCAACTCCATAAAGATTGCTTGAGGAGGCCGGATTTATGACCTATACTATAGCCCGTCACCAGAGGGTGCTGTTCTCACTAGAGCAGTGACATGTTTATTTTCAGCACTATAACAATATTTAATTTTAAGAGCTTCTGTGAGGAGCTTACATTTTGACTTTTGATCTTTATATATGTAACTAGTTGTGAGCAAATCTAAAAATCTGAATTTTAGTAAAAAAAAACTCCTTACAGGGGCTTTTAAGACAGTTATTGTTAATACTGGTGTAATGCAACAGACTAAGGCCTTTCCAACACAAAAATAGATGCTTCAATTTCAAGCTGCTTTTCGAGACGACATACCACCCAGCCTCCCCTGTCTACACTGCTGTCCGCTCAAACAGTGCTGCCATAGAGGTTTGACTTAATCCTAGAAAACCATTAAAAGAAAACACATGATCAAATTCATGTGAGCCTGTAAATAGCCAAATGTCTGAACAGAAGATTGATTCATACTCACGGGTAATGTGGCAATCACTCAGCAAGCCTGGCCTTTTAGCTGACACACTCACACAGTATACAGCTCTAAGGCTCTAAGGCACGTTTGTTGGATGGTCTCGCACACACACAAAAACACACATGCAAAGGAACACACACTTGCACCCTGCCCTTATGGTAGTAAGAAAGAAAAAACAGTACCCAGCAGCAATCACTTTAAATATGTACGTTTACCTGGCAGAGTGCCTGATGCCCAATACCCGGACCCTCCAGCATGAAACCAACACAAACTCTGTTTAAGGCCGAAATCACAAATTAAACCAACACTGATCCAAACTTAAACAAACCACACTGAAAAAGAGACCAAGAGTAACATAAGAGGTGAAAAGGCCTGCTTTAAATTGGTGATGTACTTTACGCTGTTTATGTTAATATTCATTTTATAAATATTTGTTCTTTGTTTCTTTTGAGCACAGGGTACATGGCGCCTATACTTCACAGCCAGTAGCAGCTATAATTGTGTTTTCATTGACCCGGCCGGGTTACATTACAATAAAAACTATTCCTCTCAGGCTGTAGTCCATACCCCATCACAAACTCCACTACGGCGGCTTGATTCAAATTCAATTTCACATCCAGGCATCTATATGATGAAGGGAATGGGATGGCAGAAGCAGGAAAATTAAATAATCAATGACAGGGAATTTAATGTGTGTGCAGTACTAATGGCGAACAAAAGAACTACCTCCAGCTTTTGGTTCCTCTTGCAGGTTTACAACCACATCACTCAGGTTGAGAGGTTATATGCCTGGAAGGAAGTAATGCACCAGAAATAAGAAGTGTTTAATGTATAGCATCATTTATTCTATAATTATCATTACTATATCCTACCACATTATTTACTTTATTATAGATATATGTGTGTGTTATTTAATTATTTATTAACCTACTTATTTATCATTTTACTTTGATTACTTATTACTTTTTTCCATCTCTGCCACCTCCTTTTTTATTTTTCTCTACTTTATTATTATAATAGTATTATTATTATTATTTTTTTCATTCATAACACTTTCTTTTTCTTCTTTCACTCTTTCCCCAACAAGCATAACAATCTTTAAAAAAGGGGATAAAGAGGGAAAAATGTCACCCACAAGCACACGCACTTCACAACACACATAAAAAAACCCACCCACCCACACTTTATTAAACACAGTCTTGCAACACTTTCTATATGTATGTACATGTGTGTTCCTGCTGTATTTGTCACTTTGTCTTGTCTCAGTTGTCTGTTTGCACCGTATATATGTTGTCAACCACCTGTCATGATCTGTCCTGCATCACCTAATAAAAAAAAAGGAGATTAAATGCCAATTTGGGTTGAGTTGGAGCCAGGCACCTCTAAATTACTTAAGGAATTACTTGATACCTAAACCAGGCACGGATCACAGGGTTTTAGGACTTTCAAAGCATCTTAATATTCAACAACAGCTGCAGAAGAGTCTAATTTATGAACAGCCTGCTGTCTACTAATAACACCCACCAATATGAGTTAAAAGGTCATGCGCCCCATACAGCGCTCAAGAGTTGGCCTGTATTTATTTTCAACTTGTGGCCCTCCTCTTGATCGTCCCACCACACTCTCTCTCTGGTATCATCATTGAGCCAGAAAACAACATCAACTTTGATGTGTGCACATACATAAACACA